CTGCCCCTGCTGGTTCCTGATGAAGTATCTGAGTGGTGACATTGATGGAGAAATGTTTGTGTGGTGTTTGCAAATGACTGTCCATAACATGAAGGTGGTAATGCTCAGGATACACCTGTTCCTCCTTATGGACCACCTGTCTCTGAAAAGGTGTAGTCTGTGAGGTTGAAAAGAGGCAGATGTGAGCTTGTTTATACATGTATTTCATGCTTATATGGATGAAACACCTATAAAAGCTGCATTTTGTCTGAAAAAGGAGACTTACTCTAGGAAAAAAAAAAAAAAAAAAAAAAAAACAAAAACAAAACAAAAAAAAAAAACGACAAAAAAACAACCCCCAAAATAACAACCTTCTTTCATTGATACAAAGTAATTGAAATACTATTAAAACCACATTAGCAGGATCAATGGCAGTGTGGGGAAACTATCCTTGTGTGAGGCGAACTGCACTTCTGTAACAAATGACCTCACATGCAGATCAAGGGCCTGCCAATAGCAATTGGTTTGAACTTCTATGGTCTGCCACTCCTTCATCCAGTGCCTCCATGCAGCCCGACTTGCCAGCTTCACCCTGTGCTCTTCAGCTTTTTCATCCATATGCAATATCACACAATCCCATTCGCTTGAGATTTCTGCCCCCGTATACCCTCTTCCCACACCCTGCTGCACATCCCAGTGCCCTTCTCCTCCCATTCCCATGCACCACAGCCTCACAGCCCACCAGCATCTGAGCTGGTCTCCAGCTCCACATCTGCACCATCTCACGTGTAGTTCTGTCAGCACTGCACCCACCAGCACTTGTGCTATGCAGTCTGTAGAGCAGACTATCTCCTGATAGGGGGGGTGGGAAAGAGGAAGGAGAGAAGCAAGCAATCCCCTGGTCTGCAGAGCATCACGGGTCCTCCACAGGTCACCACCCCTGTTTCATGGGATTGGGAACTGAAGAGAAGAGGGATACTGGAAATGTGTGAAATGGGGACAACAGTGGAACCAGGTCAGTGCTGAACCTGAGCTGTGCTTGGTAGATTTAAACACAGTTTTACTACTGAAAATAAAATGAAAATGATCACAAATTGCAGATTGCAAATGTAATATTCCAAAACCTGTTTCAAATCTGGAAGCACTCCATGAAAAAAAAGTGCATTTTTTTTTTTTCTTATCGGTTAGGATTGCTCTCATTCTTTCAAAATATGTCTTCCTTTATGGAGGTACTCTGAATTATGAATTTGGCTTTAGGAACCAAGCTAAAACAGAAAGGAGTGAAGTTCCAGACATTTGAAAACAGTTGTAGAGAGAGCTAAGAGAAAAAGGAACTTGAAACAAAATGTTGAGAGCATTTGAAATTATTAGTTTATTCTGGGGTATAAACTAAACACAGCAGGGTATCAGCTAACAATTCCAGTAATGTGACTACTAAACTCTCTTGAACAGGAAGTGTCATGATGTCATTTAAAAATATATTTTAGAAGGACTATAACAATATATGTGTAAACACAGCAGGTCCATAGAAGCAGAATGGAAAATCAGCTATAAATGCTACAGAAAAATAATGACCACTGATACCACAGATGACCTGGATCCTAAGGCAAACATGATGTTCAGTGTCTGAGGCACGATGTATTGAAATAGACAGTCCTCAAAACTGCAGGACTAACAAAATACTGCACTTCTCCCTTTGTCATAGAGAGCATGCAGGATGGATGTGATCTGACAATTACTTTATTCTCAAGACTGAATTAGCTAATATCATCTGCTCCTTTCTGCTTCTTTACAGAACAGAAGACAGGGATTTTGTTTCCTAGAGCTCATAGGCCCATTCACAGTCTGTCCCAGCGGTTTACAGGTTGAAGAGGTTGCATGAGGAACATGTATATATGAAAGTCAGTCAGGAATAAGGCAGATAATTGCAAGTGGAAGTGTATGAGGTACTTCAAGGTGGAGAGGTATGGTTAGGGTTTTCATTTCTGAAAAATCTCTCCATCCATAGACTACCCCAAATGAATTCCTGCTATAATCGTTATAGTCTGTTCAGGCTTCAAATGTTTGAAATAACAAGTCATATCCCAAGCAATCATGAGTTTAAAGATCATTCTTTGCTATTATAAACTCTGGTTACCAGATCACATGGAAAATGCAACTCAGTGATGGAACAGGTCATTTTCAGTCCTCTGTTTCTAAAATCATATACTTTTTCTATTGGTTTACTGGATCAATCAACCCAGAAGCTGCAAGTGGTACAAATCTGAAGCCATCCAAGGGATATGGCTCATCCACTGTGACACTCCACCACTCTGTGGACTAATAATTAATTACTAACCACATGAATGTGTTCAGCTCAAAAGACCTCTTTATTGGAAAACATATTAAAAAAAAAAAAAAATTAACCAAACAGCCATTTCTCTGCTTTTCCATGTCATGCTCTCCAGAAATGCCATGGAGCCAGAGGATTTCCATTAGGAAAGAAGTTGCTCCTCAAGTTACCTTTCAAGTCCCCAGTGAAAGTCAATCTTGGAGTTTTATGTGCCTGTTCTGGGAATGAAAAGAATGATGTTGCTCAGCACCTCTCTTCAAAGTGGTTTCCTTACTATTATGTGAGTGTGATTGAGAAACATAACTCTAGAATATAGCCTTAAGCATTAAAAATATTTAACTGTATAGAATCTAGGAGTTTATGGCACTCCAAATTGTTTATATGTTTGCAAACCACTGTAAAATCAAAAATGTTGAAGTTGCATTAATTTTGGTAAAGGCAAATGTTTTCATAAATTACTAGGCTTGAAAAATTAAGCTGCTACTTTTGAGGCCAAACTTTTAATGATATGTCAATCTATTTTCCATTAAGGCCACCACAGTTATTGGAGGGGTGAGAGGGTTTACCCCTCATCTCTTCTTTACTGGAGTAAGCCATGGACCATGTATAAGCAATACCATCAGTATACACAAATTGGATATGAGGTGTACCATCTGCAGATGCAAATAACAATTAAAAAATAAGTACTCAAATGACTGCACATGCATAGGGTCAATATTGGAAAAATTGGCCCAAGATTTCTGTATCTCTTATAGAAGTAAAAACATCTGTTAGATGCCATATTCCCCTAAGAACTGTGAAGAAGTCAAACTTCTGCATGTAATATAATTTCTCCTCTTTCATTATTAAGATTTAATACATTTTGAGGTTGGAGAAGGCAACATATCTCATTACAGTCTGGTTAATACAGAATGCAAAAAAAAAAAAAAAGCTCTTAAGTATTGAAATAATGAGGGCATTTTCCTCCTTCTATGTGCAAATTGTCTCATATTCCAATTTATTTCCGTATAAATTTATTGTTGCATATGCTAATACACAGAATTGGAACAAGAAAAAAATAATTAAATGCATTGTAGAACATATGGAAACATACAAATTATGTGATCTTTGCTAAAAATCCATCTTAGTGATGAAAGCACCATTTAGCATCCACTCTGGAACTGCACTCCTTCATTTATTTATGAGACACTACTTTCTGTAGACAAAGAAAGTATCTTCCAAAAATAAGAGTGCCATATTTTGAAGGCATACTGTATATTTTATTTTTGTAACTAGTAAATGTCAAACAGTATTCATACACAGTATTGACGCATTAATATTTTCATTCAACAGTGAAGATACCTTTCCTTATTACATTATATATTTATGACACACAGAGCTGTCAAGTAAATTATGTCAAAGCATCTAAAGTCAGAACTTGTGACACTTGAATCATAGAATCAGGGAAAATAACCTTTAAAATGAAAGACATATGATGAGAATTAGAAACATTTAATTTGCATAAATATAATGTTAACAGTCTTTTCCTTATTACATATTTTATGCCTAATTTATAATTGTCACTATATTAATTTCTTAACATCAGTTTGCACTCTTTTTTTTTTCCTCATTGTTCACTTTGTTTTGGAACGTGTGAAACAAATTCTGTAAGAAGAATATGATCAGATCCCCATTTTAATATACTCTGATTAGAACATCTTAAATTTTGCAGAAAACTTCATTCACATAATGCACTTTCTAACATTTAGAATTAATTCCTAAAGATAACTAAAAATTCCTGAACACATCAAGCAAATACAATGTCTGAAAATATTAGCCCACCTCTTGGAAACAATCTTGTACTGATGTTTCGCTATGAAGTGAAGAATACACAAAAGTGTGCAGAATTGAAGCACTGATTTTCAAAAGATGGATAATTCTTACATTTTGAATTTAGGAATGTAAAATCTGAGCATTCAAGTATACATATAGGAATCAAAGTGAAAGGTTAGGTTTTCAGAATGCTTACTACTCAGAGTAGTAAACTCATTGATTTCATTAGTTGAAACCCATTAGTAAAGGAGAGACTTTCCTGAGCCTCTGTTGGAGGGTGCAGTTTCTCTCTCACACCTATAGAAATCAATAAGAACAGAGAGAGATCCGCACTTCTCATGACTCTGCCCTTATTGCCAATGATGCACAAGGTTATGCATGCAAGCACAATTAATAAAACTTCACAATATTCTGAAAACTCCTAAGGGACATTCAAGTAAATAAGGCTGGAAGGTACTAAGATGGATGTCTGCCTCAGGAGAGCACAATAACTCAAATCCTTATTCTTACTGGCTGTGATCACCTCCGTGTGGATACAAGACCAAGTCCTGCACCACTGTAAGGAGATATGGACTTTGTGCAGTCCCTTTGTCACAGGCAAGTTTGGCTCACTTTGCCCTTCTCAATCAGAAGAATAAATATGGTTTATTCTATTCTATAATATTCTATTATTTTATAATAATGGCATTTGGTCTAGATGATTGTTGTAGGTCCCTTTCAACAGAACTATGTTATTATTCTATTCTATTCTATTCTATTCTATTCTATTCTATTCTATTCTATTCTATTCTATTCTATTCTATTCTATTCTATTCTATTCTATTCTATTCTATTCTATTCTATTCTATTCTATTCTATTCTATTCTATTCTATTCTATTCTATTCTATTCTATTCTATTCTATTCTAAAGATAATTGGGATGATTTGGTTTATAGTAATTCTTCCTGAGAGCCAGAGGGAAGCCAGTGGACAGTCTATACAAAGAAGCACTGAGGAAAGGGTTGAAATTGACAGTAAACTCCAGAACTTAATTTAGAAGGTTTAGGGTGCTTCCTTAAATCTTCACCAAAGAATCAAGCAGTTGTTTGTCAGTTGACTCTGCAAGTGAAGCAAACACATCACCAGAGATTTGCAGAGCAACTCCGGCAAGACACTAAGCAACTCTCAGCCCACCAGCAGAGCGACCGGTGATCTGCAGGCGATCAGTCACTGGTGCATGAGATCTGATGGCATGTCATCCAGGTCATCTGAAGACAGCCAATGTGCAATTACCAGTTTTAGAAAACATGAATGGCTCAGAGGAGTAGTGGTGGAGAAACAGAAACTGTAACAGTATTGAAGCAATTTGTCCTCCTAGGTCAATGGTAAAAAAGAAGTGACCCTCCCACACCCCACTAACCATGCTTCTGTAAAGTAGTTCTGGCCTGACAAAGTACAGGTACTTCAGAAGCAATTGAAAGGGCAGCTACCTTCACGGGTCCCTTGAATGCTTTGTTCTTCTGAGAAACAACAATCCAAAGTGGTGCCACTTGCCAGAAAAGGAATCTAAGTAACAATGTATATTCTCAGAAATAGAAAGAAATTCAGGCTAATTATATATGGTAAATTAAATTACAGGAATATTACAAGTATCCCAAAGCCCAATGTTGGAATATTCAGAAATTTAAAGTTATGATTAAATGTTTTAAGGGAAGAAATATATTTCATCCCTGATTCTGCCCTGAGACACCATCAAGCAGTAATCACAGAATTAAGATATTTTGAATTTGAAGCCTTACAGTGATTAAACACTTTTAAAAATGACAGTGTGTCACAAGACTTTGAGCTAATGGGAAATAATTGTCCATCCCAAACCAGCCATTTAGCTGTGAAAAAGTTATTCGTATTTAAAGCAGTGGAAATTGGAAGACATTTTTATTAGTACTACAGAATTATTAATTTAATGCAGAGGTGAAGAGGGTTTCATCAAGGGCTAATACTACAAAGAATTTTAGAAGTATCTGTGTTGTTCCATTTACAAGATTATTCAGAACAAAACCGAAAGTATCCTGGTAGATGCTATCTTTTCTAAAGAGCCTATATTAAAAAATTTCATTGATCAACTCATCTATAAATTTTCAGAAAAAAAAAAAAAACATTTAGCCATCAAAGAATAAATACTGAACTTAGTAGAAAAGATACCGTTTATTTATTCACTTTGCACTTAAGTAGAGATCTTCATTCAGCTGTGACATAAAATTGATGTTTCTACAATGAAAGTAGTAAATAGTAGTAAATAGTTTATAAGGTGTTAATAAATTACTAAAATTGTTTGAGGAAATTATTAATCAAATATTATATCTTGTTATTGAGCTTGAGGATGTAATGGATCATATGCAATCAACTACAGCATCTGAAATGAATGTGCTTGTGACAATGTACAGAACTTATTTCTCCTGTGTATGTCAAGTTTCTCACAGTTACTAATCAACATCTTGCCCAGCAATTCTTAAAGCAGTCTCAGAAGGACGCATACAGAACAGTTCTGGTCATCCAGGGACAAAGTGGGGAATAACTCAAATAGTCACCTATAGCTGAAAGGGTAAAAATCCCCATGGTTCTTTCCTATTGTCTTCTAGTAGTGTGGAATCTCCAAGACCAGAAGAAAAGCCTATTGATGCCTCAACAGAATTATGCAGAGGTGTGGAAATGACTCACTCCATGAGCCACCTCATCTACTGCAGGCAGCTGCTTTGGGCAGGTGGAGCAAGGAGTCTCCAGACAAGCGTACATGTGTAACTGCTGCTAAAAACAGGATGCTTAGCATTAGATTTTGCCTATATACTCCAGCTGCACAAAGTACCTTTGTACTTCTCTCTTTTCTGTAGTTCTAAGATGGCCATTACGGCTGTGCCATATTCATTTACCTTTTAGCTTCCACAGTTTTTTTAAGTCAGTGAGGAAAAATTGTACTTCCTCATCCTTCCTCATTTTTCAACTAGTTTTTGCTCAATTCACATTTTACTGCTAGTGTTCATGTATGGAAAAAAAGGCAAGAGGAAAAAAGTCATACATGTTGCCACATAACATGATACTGATATGATAGCATAATCTAGTGTGAGTGCTGGGAATCCATAATTACAAGCCAAATAACTCAACCCGTGAATTCCTCCACCCCATTTGTGTGCTTGCACACAGGACTGCACATCAGGATTGGGGCTGAAATATGGCACATACCTTATGTTTCTCTCCACTGCCATCTCTCAGCTGCCACAGCTGAAGATTTCAACACCAAACATATCACAGCTCAAACTGGAAGTGCAGACTACTCTATGCTCAAAACAAGAACAAGTTTGGGGAAAATATTACCAGTTTTTCCTCTTCAATCTGAGCTAAAGTATACCTGTGGCTTTGAAAATGTAGCAAACCATAATAATAACTCATGACAACTATTAGAGGGGAACACAATGCAGTGCATGTAACCAACATACATCTGCTTTCTCTGAATACATAGTGCTCCCACTTGGTAGCTGTTAAAAAGCATACAAAGCCAGGTACAAAAAATGTAAGCATATGTTAGCTGCGATAGGATGCTGTTATTGCAAATGGCTGTCTCAAATAGAAGAAAGGGTAAGTAAAGCCACTAGAAACCGTATGCACTGGTATATGGTTTCCTGTATATATCATATCAGTTATAACACACTGTTTTTTAGAATTCATAATATCTCATTATTCCATACACAAAACTACAGATGCATATTACAACTAATGTTACAATAGAAGATATCTAAAAGAATATACTTCACTGCTAAACACAGTAAGTACTTCATGTCTGCTTCAAATACTTTGTAGATAAATGTATATAAAAATATTATATAAAACCACTATAGAACAATTGCATGAACATTCTCTGAGTGATGGCAGATGAAAGATTTTTTTTTCTGAATGGCAGATCTGTCCTTACTGAATGTAGTAAATATATATGGCATACAAGAGATCATCTATGAGATCTCCTGGAGAAAAAAAAAGCTAAGGAGAAACCGTGGTGTACTTCATTCTGAATATGAACAGTTGAAACTACTCATATTCAACGGGTTGACATCACACTTCACTCTGTTCACTGAACTTGCTGTAATTCTAAATTGGGAGAAACAGAAAAAAATGTATTATAAAGTTTTTCTAGAATATAACATAAAATTAACAGATGAAGCAATGCTAGTTTGAAAATGTCACCGCTATAGCGACTAAAAAATGAAAAAGTTATTTATGATGAAGATGAACTGCATAAAGCAACAGATGAGTTTCTTATTAATTTATCATCACAAAAATGAGAATTACACAACATTATCCTTGGAGGATGTAGATAAGAGCATTTCAAATAGTGGCAGAGACAAAAAGGAAACACGAAGCCCTCTTGCCTCTACCTCTCTGACAGTGAAAGACTATTTCCTGCTGTGAGGAGATGTTGAAATGTAAATCAGAATGAATCACTTTCTGTAAATCTCCAACTCCTTGTTCCTATTGTTTTCTATCCTATCCTGTTCATCCTATCCTGGCACTTTCCCGTCATGTAAACACCTCAAATTTCTACTGACCTCAGCATCTTAAAAAAGCATAGGCAGTCTACACAGACAGGTTTTGTTAGTTACAGTGTGGTGCTGCTATGGTGGTCACCCTGCCTCTTTATTCCTGATCATCTTATCTTCAGGTGTTAAATGAAAAGAACACATAAAACAAACAAACAAACAAAAAAAAACCCCAAACAGATCACATACTTTGAATACTCTGAAGAAACATCAGCAGCATATACACTGTTCATAGTTACATTTAAAATTTGAGTCTGCATGCAAGCCTTTCAGACTAATCTGCTGAGACACTATCCAGATTTTTGATTTGCCTAGCAGCTCTGGTAGAAACATGGGATCAGTTCCTAGAAAACTGGGCTTCTGAGCACTAACTCCCCCTTTTTACTTTGAACATTTGTCCTGGTCTGTCCATGTCCCACTTCCATAAAATGGGAATGCTAGTACATACCTATCTTACAAGAATGTTAGGAAGGTTAATTAATGTCTATAAAGAATGCAGACATTTTACAACACAACAATCATCATAATTCATCCAATCAGACCCAGACAAAATATAAAATAGCCATCCCCATTACGCTTGCTCTGCAGTTACCATTTCAGTAAATTGGTTTTTGCAGGGCATTAAAATAAAAAATGTTGAAAAGCTCTGAAGAGAACGTATTTTTCTGGTCAATCCACTAGACCAACTGTGTGAACTCACCTTACCTGGAAAAATCAATGGAAAGTGATTTTGTCCATAGGTAATTCTAATTTAATTAGTAAAATATAAAGTGAACTAAAAAAAAAAAACAACAAAACCACAGACCATTATGAGTTTAATGTCTCCTGGAGAAGGCTCTTAGCCAAGCTCTAGCAATGTTTGGAATCATAAATAAAACCATTGGAAAGAACACTACTTGTAATGCATGCTCAGTTACACTGGGATTACAATGGAAAAGGCTCACACTGTTTATTATGAAAGCCCAGGTTTACAGCTTTTTAACAAGGAATGCAACAATTATTGAGCGAGTAAATACATGTTCAAGCAAATGCATGTTCAAGCCTCAAGCCTCAATTTCTGAACAAAGCCATCCTTCTCCCTCTAGCTCTCTCTTCCACCTCGTGCAATTCCTCTGCCCTCTTTCTACCAGTGAGCCAACACAACAAACTACAGCGCAGGGTAGAGACAAGCTTATTAGCTCAAAAAAAAATTTGCTAAGGATCCAGAAGCATTTCAGTTAGAACAGTGCAGCGCTGTGTGAAGTAACTTTAATCAACCCAGGCTGAGGAACAGAGTGTAGTTTCAGTAATACAGACCTGGGGATGAGTTAAATTGCCTCATTGAGAAGCTATGTGAGGTGTTTCTAGATGACATGACACTTTCCAGTGGAGAATGCACCCAGATTAATGCACCACAACACAGAGCTTCTGGTTATAGCATAGGAGACTGAGAAGATGTTAAAGGAGAGATGTCGACAGGAAGGGAGTGCTAGCAGGAAAAACCTGGTAACTGCGGTCCAGAGGCTGAGCACCAGTTGTAGAGAATAGACAAATGAAATATTTCTACACAGAGGGTTCACTGGGTGAATAAGATTTCCCCAGACTTTAAAAAATTGCTGTGAGAATACAAGAAGCCCACCAGACTTCACCTACCCCTGCTGTAAGTCTCACCCTGTGAATTTGAATGGCATCAATTGCCGAAGAAATAGATTCAAAGAAGACAGGATTTTCAGATTCAAGATTTCCACCGTACTGCATTGCTTTTACCAAGGAAGCTGCAATAAAACAAACATATGAGCACTGATAAGGTAGTGAGGATATATAAACCATCATGTTAAAAATTTTCCTGTAAGCTGATACTTGCCTTTGCAGTGTGCTAGCAACACATCCATGTGTCTGTTTTTACAGTCCGTGTAAATCTATATGTGTGAAAACATGAAATTAAAAAAAAAAAAATAAAAAAACCCTGTTTAAAATACCAACAGGGAATAAAATACACACAAAAAAGAGAACATATTCAAAGCAGGCAGTGCATGCTGGTGAAGCTATACTGCCAGCAGCCACCAGAGTGAGCCCTTCTATAATGCAAACACCACAAACCCACACTAATTTCCTCCCACCTCCTCAAAGTACTCTACAGCTCAGCTGAGAATTAAATCTGAATGTGATAACAATTTTGCATTTTTTACTATATTTTCAGGGCTTTTTTCCAGTTTTCCTTTTTCAGCAAGTTTTCCCATCTCCTCTCCATATGCTTACCTACCAGTCTACACAGACAGAAACCAAAGGAATCCAATCTAGGAAACTTTGAGACTTCCTGCAGTCTATCAGAAAAACACCATAACCATCATGCCACATTCTGCAGTAAGTTGTTCTTTATTCTTTCTTTGAAATTGTGCAACTTCACAGACACTAAATATTCAATAAACTAGAAAGTAAAAAAAAAAAGTGAAAATAACTCTAGACCAAGAGTAGGGTCTTTTTCTGGCAAATGAGGAACATGTGGAACAGCCCTTGATTCAGATAATGTTTAAATAATCCATGTAAACTGGACGAATTCTTAGAGAAGAGATTCAATGAGAACCACATCAGAATAACGTATTTTTAAAAATAAACCAAAAGCCTGACTCGGTCTAAAAATCCCTCTAACTCAGCAGTGATGATATTTTGGGAAAGAGTGTAACAACAAGGACATGTTGAGTGTGTTCCTCTGAGTAACTCAGTTTTGGACCAGTCATTCACTGCACTCCCAGCCTGTGCACTTCACAGCCCATAATGGACTTACCTCTCAGAAATTTGTCAAACACTTCTTGGACATAATTTGTAGTTCTGATGTCTCCAAGATCTTTTGGAAATAATTTTCACTTTTTTTTTTTTTAATTAATGCTTTAGTAAATGTCCTATATTTTGAGGGGAGACATAACAAAGAGTAACTCCCACTAACCTTTCCTTACAGCTTTCTTTTTGACCATATCCCCACCTATATATGTGGTTTTAATTGAACACTTTTAAGGCAGCACTTACTTCACTGCTTAATCACTGCAGTAAATTGAGAAAATGATTAGGATCAGAAAAGGCCTGGGCTGAGACCTAAGTTCAACTCTAGTCTACCCCACTCAGAAAAATTATATGGAACAAACCTTGGATACCCACTGAAATCTGTACCCACTACACAACTATTAAATGACAGACCCAATGGAAATGTAAGATATAGCCTTAGAAGATATTTTTTCATCAACTGTATAGAACTGCTCATTATGTGGAATGACAGAATCATAGAATCATTTAGGTTAGAAAAGACCTATAAGATCATCAAGTCCAAACATTAACCTAGCACTGCCAAGTCACACCACTAAACCATGTCCCTAAGCACCACATTTACACATCATTAAATACCTTCAGGGGTGGTGTCTCATCAGCTTCCCTGGGCAGCCTGTTCCAATGCTTGACCACCCTTTTGGTAAAGAAATTTTTTCTAACATCCAGTCCAACCCCCGCCTGGTGCAACTTGAGCCCATTTCCTCTTGTCCTATCACTCTTTACTTGGGAGAAAAACCGACACTCGCCTCGCTATCTACCTTGCTCACCAGTGCTGAGTACAGGGGGACAATGGCTTCCCTGGTCCTGCTGGCCACACTATTTCTAATACAAGCCAGGATGCTCTTGGCCACCTTGGCCACCTCGGCACACTGCTGGCTCATATTCAGCCGGCTGTTGACCAACACCCCCAGGTCCTTTCCCGCCAGGCAGCTTTCCAGACACTCTTCCTCAAGCCTGTAGCGTTGCGTGGGGTTGTTGTGACCCAAGTGCAGGACCCGGCACTGAGACTTTTGAACCTCGTACAACTGGCCTCGGCCCATTGATCCAGCCTGTCCAGATCCCACTGTAGAGCCTTCCTACTCTAAAGCGGATCAACTCTCCCAACCAACTTGGTGTCGTTTGCAAACCTACCAAGGGTGCACTCGATCCCCTCATCAAGATCATTGATAAAGATATTAAACAAATCTGGCCCCAATACTGAACCCAGGGGAACACCACTCATGTCTGGCTGCCAGCTGGATTTAACTCCATTCACCACAGTAACAAGTGGTTGCTGGGTTTAGTTTTCTCAGAGATCTTTGGTGCTCCTGCAATGCCTGAGAAACCCAGCCTGTTAGGTATGTAACCCACAGGAGAAAACACGGAGATCATTAAGACCTCTGGCTTAGCAGAAAGCAGGACAGTTTTAAAGGGCTCCACTACAACTAACATGACAGGGTCAAACATGATCTAAAACAGCTTTAAAATAATTTAAAAAAAAAGTCAGAAACTCATCTCCATTACATACAGATAGTTACATTTGCATTGAATATCACCCAAAATCCTTAGAATTATTTTTGATATAACTTTATATATAAACACTGTTGAGTTTAACACCAAATCTGTGTTCATCTTTTCCACGAGTGACATGTTTATCCACTTATATAGGTGAGATGACTACTAGCTGGCCCCAGTAACGCATATGTGTAATTATATTTCTATGTACAGAATTTGTCTGATGTCATGAATACCTGAAGCAGCACTGAGACTCCAGTGTAGTCAAAGAAATTCAATCCACTGCAGTCTAATACCAAAACACGTCTCTCACTGTGACATGACTGCAACACGTCACCTACAAATTTGATAAATGTAAAACTTTCATTAAAAGGAAGAGTAGTCAATAAATGTGCATAAGAATAATGATAGTTCAACAAAATAAGCCCAAATTATCACAATAAAAATTTTACAATTATGTACTTGGGTACCAGTCAAGCAAATGACATATTTTAGAAGCACAAATGAATGACCTTTAGAGTGATGGGATGAAGTGATGATGGACAGAACATATTATTAGTGAAAAGTTTTCGACAGGAATAGTCTCTCAAGAATGAAAGAATTGTTTCTTCAGATTTTAATTTCTAAATGATTCAGGATAATATCTTGGCTTGTTTGGAAAATTTTGCACGAGATACACAGAGAATATATCTCTCTTTTAAGTTCTGATCTGACATGCATTTCTGTAGTACCTAAACGCTTGTCTATGGCTTAAATAATATCTGCCCATGAGAAAATAAAATATGTAAAATGAAGTGTTTCATTTTCTACTGTGTTGGGGTTTTTTGGTTAATTTTTTTTTTATATATTATTGCATATTGATGCTGGAGAGAAAAAATATGTTGGTAAGATCTGAGAAGGTCTAACATTCATTCTTCAACCTCAGGCCATCTGGTGCTTAAACTAAGCACACTAAATGTGTCCTGAACTAGCACATAAATAAACGATTCCTGACTTTCATGAAGGGAAACCTGGAAAATAATGCACATCTTATTTACATTGCTTTGTGAACAAGTGTTAGTTATCATAATGCACAAAACTCAAAAAAAAAAAAAAAAAAAGAGTTGAAGAAAAGGAATTCTTAATGTAAAGATTGGTTAAACTAAATGGTTTTGACAGAGCAGAGGTGAAGATTTTAAACTCTTGAGGGGACTTAGAATTTCCCCAAGGTGTAGATTTATCATGCTGCTAATTCCTTTCTGACAGTAGTCTGAGAGCCAGAGCCTTTTGGACTTGCACTTGCAGAGATTTACTGTCTTTGTACTGTCCAACATACATTAATAGATACAAACCAAACAAAAATACAGAAATATAAAGGAAACCTCCTGCCTGACATTACTGTGATGGAAACCCAGAAAGGATTTGTGAGATCTGCTAGGCTGCTCACCATAATACTGTCTATGCACCTCTTCTGCCTCCAAAACAAAAGAACTTGGTCTTTCTCCCTATTACTTACTCCTGCTACCTTCCCACCCAGCTGGCACCCTGCATTGCAGTAGAGGCTGCTTGGCTTCTAAATGGGGAGGTAGGTACAGACCTGCTCCTGCTCTGAACCAGTGGCAAAGGCAACAGCAGCTGTATAATTTGGTGCTGATACAGACCAATGGCAAATCAGTATTACCCAGAGGGAGAAAGGAAAGATTTTGACAAAGATGTAAATTGTCATGCTTTCCAGGACAACTGCCGTAAGGATTAAGGATTATGTCCTTCCTGAAAACTTAAGCCACATGTTTTGTTTTTTTTAATATATATTTTTCTTTTTTCTCTCTGGTTTTTATTTTAAAGCCCCCAAGAAGAGTCATCATAGACTGGTTCATACAAGGAACATTTAAGTCCTCAAGTCAGGATTTAAGCAGCCAGAAGAGAGGCCTTGCACTCTCTGTCACTTCTGTAAAATGAAAAATCAGTTCACCTAAAAGAAGGCTGAAATATGTACTGGCAAGACCTTCTCACACATAAGGTGTTGTGCACTCTTTTAGTATTTTACAGTATAACTCTGTATAGTCTTCAGCAGCCATTATCATTATGTTGCTATATGTTACAGCAAAGTACTCTCTCACCCCCAAGTAATCTAAACACTGCAGTATCATAAAAATGTCACAAGTCTAGTTAATAAATGCAAACATTCAGTCAACAGCCTCCAAATCAGATTCTCTACTGTGGATTTAATGCTTATAAGTGTTTTAAATAAACACAGTATTTTACTTCCATCCACAATTAAGTCATCTGTATAAAGTATCTTCTGCAAAAGGTTGCTGCAGCTCTCCCAAGGGAATGTGCTCTGGTTTGTTTTAGGTGTTATAAAATGTTGAAAGAGTGGAATTATCCAGCTTAATCCTTAATTGAAAGCAAACACTTATGTTTTTTTTTCTTTATTCTATACTGTACTGATATACTATACAATACTAGTGGCCATCATATCACTGATAATTCAGTTGACATTTTCTGAGATTTTCTCCTAAATGTCTTTAAAGATCACAATGATCACAACATGACTCTAATCTTACCCTATTTTTATGTTTGCATACTAATAGTCAAGTCGCACTGTGAATGCAAAAAATACCCAAGACTGGAGTTTAACGAAACAGCCTTTGTCCAAAGAACAATCCAGTCAGTAATGAGGGAAGTTGTTCCCCCCACTGTGTACCTGTCTCAGTATGCACACAGTGGTTCCTGTGAAACAAGTAGGGACTGATGCAGAAAATTTATTTTCATGGGTTCCCTGCTTTTGAAATCTTAAAAAGTCTGTCAATAACAGAATAAAGATAGGACCCGTTAGGCCAAGGTTAACAGAGTTTAACACTGTTTAGCACTCATGCATGGGTTTAATATCATTTATAGATAATAAACTCACCATGACAGCTTCCATTGGAAAATGAACAGAGCAATGTGTTCTGCTCACACTGAAATAAAAACAAACTATTAACATACCAAGGAAAACTAGTCCAATGCATAGTAAACAGAGAAAATCAATGCAATACATAAAAATTCTATTTCTCTATATCGAAGTTATCTCCTTTTCTCCAAAATCATGTTCTGTGCAACAGCTTATTGGATATATAATTCTTGTAGAGTACGTCTCTCAGTATTCTTCTAAAGTTAACCAAACTGGTATTTTACTTTTCTTTAGATGACTCAACCTCTGTCATGTATGGATACACTAGAAAGCATATTATGAACACAATACTTTTGGGGAAGCAGGGGTTGGTGAAAAAGTGATCAAAAGATGGAAAAGATGTTCTTGAAAAGATAAAATCTAGCCAGTGATTTTATAAGATTAACTTTTGATTCATCCCTACTTGCTGCAATCTCATCTGTTACACTAATATTTTAGCGAGAACATTTTTGACATGTAGATTTATAAAAGAATTACCTTATATGGAGAATTTTTTTTATAATGATTTCAATAAGAATGTTAAGTTCTCAGTAAAAATATGAGTTAGAACCAGAAATACAGCATAGAAAAAAAAATCCAAAGTGCAATTTTTTTCATTCCCATTATGTGCTGCAGAAAGACCTTTATTCCACCAAAAAAAAAGTTATGCACAATATTTCAGGCAGCTGTACTGACAAGTACCTTACAGAAGAAACAAAGGATAAAATCTCCCTCCTAAGTAATTTATAAATTAACTTATTAAATTAGCTTGTTAACTTATTACACTTATTAAATTAACTCATAAATTAATTCCATGAAAAACCTAAATAATTTCTCTCTGTTTGGGGGTTTGTTATCATACTAATCCAAATCAGTTAGCCTAGCAGAACCAAGGAGAAAAAGTAGCTCAATTTTCAAGCTGAATTTCTGAATGATGAGGAGAAGCCACCCATCACAGTAGGTATGGATAGCACAGCTCTTTGGCAAGAGACAGCAGAGATTGCTGAACACTGTCTTAATAATCGATCTAAGAAAAGGCTGTGATTTTCTTAGCCCAGTTTGCCAAACTGGATGCAATTGCCTACAGTAAGCATTGTATGGTATCGGAATGTCTTCATTGTAACGATAGAAAAAGAATATTTTTTTTTCCCTTTTAGGGAGTGTTGTGGGAAGTTGTAGTAATTATGTGCAGATAAACTCAAAAAATACTATACTTATGGAGAATTTCTGTACAACTAAGTTACATATCATTTGTACACTGTTTATGTTTCTAATACAAACAGTGCAAAAATTAAAAAGAAGCACTACCTCTGAGAAAAACTTTAGCCAGTTTGTATCTTCTTCTTAATTTTCCTGGAATTATTTATAGTTAGAAACAGAAATGAAGTGTCTTTCTCTTGTAAACTCACCTCCAGCAATAAAATAATATTTTATTCAAGTAGATTTGCAGCTACTCATTGTCTTTTTAAAATCACAGCCTTATATTAGCTAAGGTAAGTTCTGCCAGAAATTTTGAAGAGTTTTGGATCAGTACTTTAATGTCTCTTACAGGCTCATATATAGAGATAGTAGAGATATTCTTTTCAAGCAGTAAAAAGAAAAGAATCCATATTTAATCTGATTAAGATAAAGATTAACTTTATTCTATTCTAAATTAATAATTTGAAATATTACCTTTTTGTATCTGTTTCAGTATCTGATTGCATTCTCTAGGAAATGCAAGGAAAACAATCATGATCTTCAAAACTGTCACCATGATTACTGAAGCATATAGCACATCCTACCTTGTTTACATCTTCACATGCCTGGCTGCTCGTGCTATCCTTTTGGATTATCTTTATCAGATCAGCGTGAAATTTCCTGGCATTCAGAAAGACTAACGGGCTGTTGACTGAAACTATTTTTACCTGTTTTAATGATTCCTGTGGAATGAAATAAACATAATGTTGAAAAGATTATCTTGGCTTTGGAGACTAAAAACCAAACCAATTTCTTTAAAAATCCTGTAAATTCCTGTAAATCAACTTAAATGGAGCTTTGGATTGTGAGAGTGATTGAACAGATAGCTCTCTTGATCAGCTTTCAAACACAACTGAAGTTAAAAAGGAAATGTAAGTAAACTATAAGGAAAATTATGTTTAATTCAAGTTAGTATGAAAGAAAAATCATATTCATTAAGATATATAATACTAAGATCTGTTATCTGACAAATAATAGCAGCATAGTTTCAGTTGGTATGATCCCCAAACATGGGCAACACAAAGTTTGCGGACAGGGAATATTTTTTATTAGACAAACACATGTACTGGAAAAAGTACATGCAGTTATGGGGAAAACACTGCAGGTGGTTTGAGGAACACTGAAAATGTTCATCTTGGTCATCTGAAGATGTCTTCAGTACAACAGGGATATTTCTCCATGGAAATACATAGTGGAACCAGACCAATCTTGAGCAACACATTTAAAATTTTGCCAGCACAGATATACAACCAACACAATAAATAATCTACACTAGAATCATCATCTGCCTCTGATCTGTCTCTCCATTACCTTGAGTAATTTTCAACCAATTCACCGGGTAGCTTCAATGAAACTGTGTAGCTCAAAACATAAATGTTAAACAGCAGAACAATTTCTGAAGGACATCAGATAAAGGTCAGAAACCCCCAGGCACCAGTGGGGAGTATTACCCACAAAACAAGCACTATTTCTTTTAAACTCAAGGTGACCTTATAAAACACCGTCAAAATCAGTAAGAAATTTAATATTTGCATAAAAATATATTGGATATAATCAATCACAAGCTCAGTTGAAATACTGGTTTTGTAGATAGGAAGAATAAGTTAATTCTACCAAGCTCTCCATTTTCCACAGGTTGTGAACCATGTCTCTCTTTTCCTTAGGAAAATTTGATCTGAGACAGACTAAATTCAGTGTGAAGCACAGTTGCTTTGATTTCTGCTGCTTCTATTTCAGAACCGAGGAAAAGTCTGTCGGTCATTAGGATCTTATCCTTTTTCCAGTTGTACTGTTTGAACTAGTAAAAGATATTACATCTACTTATAAAGTTCTTTTTGTATATACCAATACATAAGTATATTAAGCTTTATACATCTAGAGTTGTAAATAGGAATAAGCAGGATAATGTGTGGCCTGTAGAAGTTACCAATATTTTCAGTAGTGTTTTCTCCTTTTTCCACCTGGCAAGCATGCATGCAACTACAGAATCTTAAATAGCCACAGTAACACTGTTCATAAGTGCCAGTTACCCAAAAAGTAATAGGATTAATTTGTCTTTCTGGCATGTCTTTTATGGAGGCTGGCAATCTCTAGATTACACATGGAAGTTCAGAGCATTCTGTTTCTAGGTGAATGTGCTGTACAGCAATGATTCCCACTAGGTATTTTCACATGCAAAACACAATATCACTGGATGTCAACTTCAGCAGCCTCATAAAAAAATTTACCCACTTTGGAAGAATGAAAACAGGATGAGATACCATTCTGCTGATTTTAATAGACAAATACTGCCAGTGGCAACACCTCAGCAGGTCAGCATCAGGCTGTGAAGGCAGATCAACAGATTCCAAAAATTTCTCCAAAAGGATTTCAGTCCACAAAAATGCTATATGCAATAAACTATCCTATCACTAAGTGCAAAAAGAGGTCTGGATACAGAAAATATCTTTTTACTACTGAAATGGAATATCTGATTTATGTGATCATCAGCTCTCAAAAATGGACAACTTGTGACAACGTGCAACAGGAAATAAACCCCAAGAATTCACAAGAATATAGGCTCAAAAAGCCTATCTTCTTCCCAACAGAAGTCAGAGACATGTAACAAAGTCACACTCAAAGACAAGTAATAACAAATTACATGGGATTACATTGAGGATACGCAGTTTTCCCAACAGATCTTCAAGCAAAACAGGAATGGAAATCTTCACCACAAACCACACAAGCTACCTCCTTATTGCAGACTGCTATTCAGACTTCTGGGAACCAGACGATCTCTCGGACACCACCGCAGCAACCATCATACAGACTAAGGAAATATTTCAAACATCCAAAACTGAGGCAATGGACCCCAGACTATGTATAGGGGCTTTACACAATTTACCTATGAATGTGACTGTGGTAAATATCACATCACCAACATACCTCGGTCAGTCAAGTTGCAAAGCCTAACTGGCAATTAAAATGGCTAAGATGGTATGAAAGAAAGCTCTAAAATAAGGGCTAAACAGAGGGCAATATATGCTTGAATGGAGAAATACTCCGACATTCCACAGATTCCCATAAAAATTATGCTCTACACAGCTTGGTGTGGAGACAACTGAGCACTTCAGTGTCATACTAGAACTGGCAAATCTGAAGATGAAAACTAAGTAAAAGGAAGACTCATGTGCAAAGATTAAAGCCTGTGATGATAAAGAATCTAATAAGCTTCCAAAAATATAAGGTGGAGAACTTGAAAGGCTTAAATCATAAGACAAAATCAGGCAGATGGCAGATTTAGGTATAATCTTTTGTCCAGGATGGGCAAGGACAACTGTGCCAAATTTGGCTGTTATTCCTAGCTCTGTTTTGGTTCTAGCTCTTTTCTTGATAAGAATTGTTCTGAGAAAAACAGACTTCCTCTTTGTCGTGTCCTTGCTAAGAAAGAAATAAAATTATCTCAGGCGGCTTATCCCTGTTATCACTTAGAAGGATACTGGCAACTGCCTTGTGCACTCTGCACAGCAGCATCTATGCTTGGGTAAGAGTTCAGTTCAGTGAACGCCCGTGATGCAATGTGTTTCACATAAGATTCTAAATACCCTCTTGACTTTTTCCACATTAAAGTGTCTTTTCTCCTATTGATGAAATAACGCCTATAAATCCACAGACCTTAATGGTAGGGTAGATCATTAAGTTTGCATATTTTCATGTTTAAAAGTCCTGTTGTTTATGTCTAAGTTCTTATTTACCAAGAGAACTTGGATCAGTCTAACATTCATACATTAAAAATTATCCTAAATGCCTGCTGCAACCCAGTGATTCTAAATTCAATTAAAGGCATTTTTCTAAATCTCAAAAATATTTTCCTTCCTTGTTTTGTGTAATAAGCTCTTGAGCAATTTGCTTTCTTAACAGAATGTTATTTTCCCCACTGTCTGCAGACACTAGTTTATTATTACTTGGTTACTGGCATTAGTCTTAATGATTACGGAAAAAAAAGAAGGGGAACAGTTAGTTTTAAAAAAAGACTTATAGGGATTTGTACAAAATATCTTATGAACTAATATGAAAAAAAGAAGGCAAATCAAATTTTGGTCACCCATCTCTGACAAAGTTACTCCAGCATTTTTCTTAAGAATGAAAATTGATATAATAATTGACAGCTGGGCCAGCCTCAACAACAATGTTTTCAATTCATATTACAGAGTCCTCCCCATTCTCATGTACCTTTCACATTCCAGCATTGTTCAGCATGCCAAAACAGTAAACACTCCTAAGCCAAGTTCAGATTTTGTGCCCAAGATAGCTCTGATGGAAAACTTTTGCCAGAAAAAATAAATTATTTAGAGAGCTTCTTAATGGTGAGGTAATAACTGCCGAGCACTTTTCTTACTGATACATAAGACCCTTCATAAGCATTAGGAAAGGAAAGAGGACATAGTAGAAACTGTCACAGCTGAGAAGTCAGCATGTCCTAGTGATGGGACTCAGTGCTGAAAGAACACATGGTTCTACTTCTCTCTTGGCTGCTGATCTACCATTTCATATTGGAGGAGGGAGTTCACCTCTCTGGGTCATTACCCTTCTCTTCTTACCATGGGCCTGACCACAAGCAACTTTGATAATAATCGTAATGAGAATAACTGAAGGAATTTAAAATCTCTGACTGGTAGTTTTAATTTTGTTAAGAAGCAAAATTTTAAAAGCCCAGTCTTTGTGAGAGATTCTTCCATCTATTTTTCTCATGAGGGTACCCTTGTTTGGGTACAGGGTGGTGAGATGTGTGGAGTAGTCTGTGACAACTTCATGCTGCTGTCCCTCCTTCCCCGGCCACACACGGTGTCCTCTGGAACAGTCCGATTACAAGGGACTGGTGGCAGAAGACCAGTCAGAAAAGAGATTGTGGATGATGAAAATATCAAAGGACTTTCAGGAAATGAGGAAATCTGATAAGAATTTAGAGACAGCTATTGCCTGCTCAGATGGCCCTTGCCCTCGCTGCCAAGAGATTTCCTTAGACTTAGGAATTAGGAAACTTTTACAAAAGCAAATCCTAACTTAAAAGTGCCAAATAAAGTAAGATAGACAGATCTAAGAGGACTTGCCTAACTTAACCTTGCAGACCAGCAGCAGAAACAGGAAACATTCCAATTTCTGATGCCCAGACTAGTCTTGTATTTATTACATCATACTGGCTTTAGATTTCAAGTGGTCATATCATAAAAATGTTCCCTTGACTCACTGATTACAGTCTGGTAACCAACTAGAGAAAATAAACAAATCTGAACTAGTGGAACACAGAAAAACAAAATAAAATAAACTTACACAATTATCTTCTGTTTTGTATTTATATTCCACTTCTTTCATGTTTTTCAAATTCAGTGTCTTTGCTCTGTAATCAACACACAGAGAAAATCTGTAAGGCAAATCATTAGCAGTCTTGAACAGAAACAGGAAGAGACACACCCTCAAAACTACAATGCAGAAGTTTAAAGTTGCGATGATGCAATCCGTATGTACTTTTGTGCATATAGAGCTTATTTTTGTGATAATGATCCAGTTAAAGAGTAAAAGCACATCTTAAAATTATAGAATATCACTTTGAAATTATAAATAATGAAAATTTCTGGTAAATAAAATCTTAAGTTTCATTACTGTTTTGTAGCTAGCCAGAGAGTTATTCTCAAGTCAAAGTAGATAGTATATAAACTACAACTTCAAAAGTACAGAGGTTTAATAGTTTTTTTACCTGCAAAATCATATTATAAGGAAAAGAGAAAAAAAAAAAGATATCAAGTAGGTATTGGTCATGAAAACTAAGGATGTTTTATTTGTCATTAAAATTGACGTATCCTTGTATGATGAAGCAGAACTCTGCACTCCAGCTATCAAAGTGGGGGACTTAACTAGAAAAGCCAGTATGCCTATGCTCTCTACACAGTCAGTGAAAAGTAAAAGCTGCCTCGAAAAAGCAGCTCAGTGTAGGACTCTCTGCTTCAATACATCATTTGCAGGAAGACATTTAACTGCAGAACAAGAAGACCATGAAACTATCTATCATATAAGCTCTATGCCTAAAGTTAAGCAATGGACATAATCCCAGGATACAAACATTTATTAGATGCATCAGTGTGCAAGGAGTATTTGCAGGTACTGGGGTTGGCTAAATGAGGCTTGCAAAATTCAGCTGTTCTCTCCTGTTTGCATAAATTGAGTTGTAGCTGCTGCTGGTTTTAATACATTGTGATACATGTTCCACATCCAGTACTCTGGCATTTGAATAGGAACTTCACAATAAATCATCTATGGTATTTTTCTTGCTTCACTTTTGCTGACACTTTTGCCCACAACTGGATGTCTTACTACATGTTCTCTTGCTAACCTCATCTGCACAGTACATATTTTAAGGCTGTTAGCTTGTTCAGTGCCTTTAAATTGCATGGACAATCATGTGCAACCTGACTGAAGATCAAAGGAGTCACTGGGAAGACTCTTATTTACTTCAACTAGTGCCAGTTTAAACTGAGGTCTCTGCTAGATCAGATAACAGAGGATTGTGCTCTTTTGTGTCAGATATCCCTCATTTTCTGCTGTTGGAGAACCTCACATTCAGAAACAGGGTTTAAACAACATGAAAACTTGCCTTTTCCTTTAGTAGCAGAATTTACCAAAAATTTAGTTTGCTGAGTAGCAGAAGGTTACCAAAAAGGTACTGATTTATCCAAGCAGAAACCATCTTCCATAATTTGTAATTGCCTTGAAATTTTGAGTTATTTTCACTCTGGTTCTGCAACTTATTCTATGAGAACAGAGCTGTGCAGAAATGGCTAACACCATTACCTTTAACAAGCATTAAATTCAGATGTCTATATTGTGTTTAATTTCAGTGGGATTCAATGTTCATGGAAACAACTGCCTGCAAGCAGCAAGTGATTTCCAGGACTAGTGAGCTATGGATTAATTTTGTAGTACAAAATGATCATGAACCTCAGCTGATATTTAACTTTTACTCATGATCCAAAGTAGAAATCGATATTAATATATGTGAAAGAATATATGAATTTGTGTTAGCTCTAGTTTCTTTGTCCTCACTTTTCTAATTCATACATAGAATTTATACCTTTCATTAGACATTAGAGTATTTGTAGTTATGTTTCATTAATATATATTAACAGTGCAACTGTCAACTATCAACTCCTGTGCAACATAGTATCTAGTATATAAAAGCACTTAGTACTAAGGCTTGCCAGACATAATTTATCCTTAAAGAGCAAATAAATATTTAATGGAAAAAGAATTATATTATTGACCTTTCTGTTGATCTTATGCTACCTTCACCTAATGAATCATACAGATGTGAAATACTAAGAGAAATCACAAAATAACTTCACAGTACGAAATTTTTTAGAGAACCTTAGCCTACAGTAAAAGCACAGGTGTGATTTTTCCTTTTGAATTGTCCTATCTTCTAATTTTCTGCAACTAAAACCCTTACGTTTCATTGTTAAATTTAGTATACTATATGTCTATCCTGACTGTGAAGCAATACACCAGAAAGAAGACATAGTGATGTGCTACTAGAACATTTCAATAAATTGTTTCTCACCTGGGAAAGCGGAAAATCACAATTACTATAGTGGAGGCAACACCATACAGCAGTCCCACATTAGCAGCGAAGCATATTGTAAACACGTAGGTACTAACCCATATGCTCTTTAAGAGGGGAAACAAAAAGAGGTGATTAGTTTTAAATTTTGTAACAATGTGCATTTTATGAATCAGAAGTAAAGACTTTTAAAACGAAGATAGTGTCTCAGAGGTGAACATTTGGATCTTTGAACTGGCAAATACTGAAGGCTGAATTATCAATTAAAAGAATGCCTCCCCATGGGAGAACACAGGTAACATGGCACTACTCATTCCAGTGCTCACAGAGGTTCCTTTCAGTTACTTAAAATAGCATATGTAGTTGCACTCACAGCATAATTCAGAATTAACTCAGTTGTTTTGTAAAATCTGTATTTTATTTTTTATATTGCAAGTTTTTGTCATCGTCTTCACTGCACACATTTAAAATCCTCCTTTCCTTTCACACAATGAGGTACCAAAAAATCCACATACAGAGAGCTCTTCTCCCACTAATTGTGTAAGTGGGAATCATAATTTGTAAGGAGGTAATTAAACTCTTTTTAATTAAAAAGCAGCATTTATCAGAGTACAGATGACTAAACCAACTCTATAACAAATAAAAATTATTGGGGAATTAATTTCTTCATATGGAAATGGCTAGAGTTCAGAATACTTACCAATCTTTAAATATTTGTTTAATAAAAATATTTGGATTCATTTTAAGTACAATTTTTTAAAAATAAAAAGACTCATATCTGAAACAACAGTTACTTTGAAAAGGGATTTAAAATATTAAAAACCAAAAATATTTTAACATTTCCATTTTTTTTAACTATTTTCTGAACAGAAATGATCACTTATATTTCCATACTATAGTGATGTGTATGGTTGAGATATCCAGATTTTACAATTAAAAGAAGAAAAGTGCAAATTATATGATTCCTTATACCAACCTAATGTCATCACATATTTCTTTCCTTGAGGGAGACTTAAGCAAAGACTGCCACTTAATCTTTATATTTAAAGTGCTAAAGAAGTATGGAAAGTATTTTCACTCCTCTAGATATACTGATCTCCACAGGTGCCCATTTCAACAATTACCATGATTCTTGTTAATGTTAGCAGAGGAACAGATCACATTACAATGGCACAATCAGTGTTAAAATTATCCTCTCCGATGCTTTCACTTGGCTCAGGAAAGCCAGAGACAATAGAATACTTTCAGCCTAACCACAGGAATTTTGCTTGAGCAAATTTCAGAACTGTTATTTTATGAATTATAAAATGTAAGTCATACCGTATTAATTTGTGCTTCACAGAGGACAGTGTTACATGAGTCTACCAAGAAACCCTTTCCTCCCTCATCTTCAAAATTCTAAAATACTGCAAAAGATTTTTCAGTCTCTTTAACGGCATGGCTGCTAAGTAAAGAGGTAGTTCTTTCTCTGAAACAGTGATCAATCTTCAGTTATATTTTAAAATGACTTCTTATTGTGTATTCTTATTGTTGTGTATCTATTTGCAAATAATACCTTTATGAGCAACAACCACTGAGTTCTAATTAATCAGTGAGAAAGTAATTCTAAGATTTACAGCTCCAATATGTATTTATAAAGGAGCTAGCTGGACATAAAGGGGTTAACCATGAACCTGAAATTCAGGTAGGATCAAGATTTAGCCCGTTCTGATAAGGCTGAGCCCTTGAAAACACCTGAGATCAGGCCATCCACCTCGGCTGCAGATCTGAGCCTCATCACATCTAACTAAATCACTGCTGCAAGACCTGCAGAACTTTTCTGTCTCAGAAGAAAACAGAAAGCATGAAAAAAAAATAGGAAGTCTATATAGGAAGAATCAAAGCCAAAAATGTTTAAGTACTGCCGAGTACTGAGAAAGTTAGTTTAGTGCCACTTTAGAAGCCTAGTATCTTACATCTTAACTGTAACCAGAGAATCCCATTGTTGTGGAGGATGAGCCAAAACAGTCATATTCTCATTTGTCAATCACCCTTTCAGTGCTTTGTATTGGCCTGGAGTCAGTACTTTTTTAGGTAGGGTAGCATCAAACTTGTAGAAAGAAGTTATGTTGATCTGATAGAAATTTTTTTAATTCATGGGTTGTGGCAAGGTTCAACAGAGAAGTCATAAAAATATCAAAGTTTTCTTTGCCAGCTTACTTCAGGATGGCTGTTATATACTCCTGAACAAATAGAATCTAATCTTCAAATCTTAGCAATAATGTGTGATAGGCACGTGTTATTCTCAAAAGTCGAAACAAAATCCACCTTCACAGTATATTTGTACTGTATTAATAATAATAAAAAAAAAATCCTAAAGAGGGAGAAAAGAAATAAGCAGAATATATGAATTTATGTTGAATCCTGTGTATATTAGAAAGTATCAGAGGCTTTGAAAGGTACCTTGAGTGTATATATATAGCAGCTGCCTCCAAAACTCTGTGGACAGTGTGTTTCCATCTAGACCTTTTTAATTTCATAGAGTCTACAAATCCACCACTGAGGGGAGTCTGAAAGGGGAACTTGGTAGGAAAAAACATATAAACAGAAGTGGGAGAATACTCTCTGCCAATGGCTAAACAATGCAATACTAAGGTACTGTGATGCTAAATGTTTCTGTACCACTTTGAAACTAGATTATAAATTTCCATTTCCATAGCAAACTGAGGAGATGTTCAGCTATTGTCCGAATGGGTAGGAGTCCTTTCACTTGGCATTAACTATCTATAGCACAGATGTGTACAGCTGGGTGAGTTGGCTAGATTCCCACCATAATCAGTGGATATTTGGTTATCGAAGTGAGGGAAATTCAGGATAGAGTTCATCTAACTCCTAACTGATTATGCTGGTGCCTAGTTGAGGAAGAGATGAATCATACCCTCTAACATGACTCGACTGACCAGCTCTGTACTGTCTATAAAGTGAGGATGTGGTGACTTGTTCAAATAGAGGCCCATGCTGCAGTCACCAGCAAGTAGCCAGAAGAAGAATCCTATTGAAGTCCTGTTCATTCACAGATTGCCTTGGCAGGGAAGATGCTGGAGTCCTGGAGGAGGCTCTGGCTGCAAGTAGATCGAGCAGCATTACTGTGCTCCCACGTCCTTCTGCAGGCAAATAACTGATGCATGCATATAACTTCAGGGCACCCTTCATCAAAACTTACAATTCAAGTGCTGAAGTGAAGACCACCACAGCCATAGAGCAGTAACTGCTTAATAGTAAAGTGGTGTGGTGGTTCTTTAATATAATTTTTCACAAGCATCCCATAAACAATGGTTTAGAGGGTATTTGTTTGCAAACTACCCTGGAGACAGCTGGACTGATATAAATATTATTCTTTAAAAAATAATTTATATGACAATCATTCTTTCAATGGATTAAGCATTTGTAAATTCCTCCCCACTCCACTGAGTCTAACTACAGCAAAAGTAATATAGCTCAGGGTAACATATTCACTAATACAGGAAAGATAGACAATCTTCCTACGATGTCATAAGCTAGAAGCATTCATGTAAAAGTATTATCATAGAAGAGATGGCTTCCTACTCTGTGGAAAACTGCTTATATAGCAAAGCACTCAGAGCTCTCAGAGCCCCCTCATGAATCAGGGCCCCTATATGATGAATACCTAAACAAATCTAAAAGACCACCTCCCTCATCAGCATAATATGTTAAAAAGTTCTAAAAATACATGAAATTGCACCAGTGTGCTCCAAAATTCCATGGAAGACCCTCCCTGAGCCCCCTCTTCTAAACTATTTTGACAAAATAGATGGACAGTGTGATCGATCCATGTCTCAGAAACTCACACTGGCAAGGTCTTGGAGGATAACTGTCAAAAATGAGACCCTCCTTGTTGGATCTACTTTAATTGCTGAATTAGTATAATTCCTTGCATATTTACATATTAATATATGTGTATACACTTACAATTCATATATCCATAACTGCCTCTCACATCACAACACCATGCTAGGAATATGTAAATTTAACCATAAATTGTTGTCATTCTTTCTGCTTTACAAGTCAGGTATACAACTTAGCTTTGTCTCAGCTGTAGTCATTTCCTCACCAAGTCATTTGTACAATTTTTTAACATTTTTTTCTCTTTAAATATCATAGTGTTTCTCTGTTGAATACCCCATGTCCCTGTTATATAATTAACTAATTAAAATAATCTTTATTCTATTGTCATTTTTCACTTAGAGCATCACCTTCTGAAATACTTTTTCCTCTTCTTCGGTCATCTTCATGTCCAACTATTAATAGCAAAAAGAAAATTTTTCTTCATCACTCCATTACCAGGCAGTAGTCTGCCTAGATTAAATGGCTGCAGCTTATCTGGCATGCTCAGCCTTAAAAACAAGAGTTAACAAGAACTTCACTGACCTTTTTACTGATACTAGGAAAGTGCACTGTCAAGCTGGAGAATAGAAAAGGGAAGTTAGTCAGGAAGTAGGCCTGCATAAGAAATTAGGTTTGCAGGAAGGATATGGAAATCAGCTTTTGATCTGAGGACCTGGAAACTGAAATACACTTATAGACAAATTCCAGATCAACTTCCTGGTAGTTCCCAAACAGGAGGCAAAAACTCAAGACAAATCATCCTGAGGTTAATGTACAAAACAGATGACACAGGAATTGACACCTTGGAAACAGCTGAAAGATGAAGACAGCAGAGGGAGGACAAATACTGTTATGCATACAAATATGTATATTACATATATAGTGGAATAGATCAATTATTAATATGAAATTGTTGAAGTCATCCAAGAAGGCGTAGGGACTTACAAAAGACCTTAACTGAAGCAAGAGACCTTTGAAGTTCATATGAATGCTGAGAATGACAGGAAAGGGCTCTTTGGAGTAAGGGCAGTGGGGTCCTAGCTGGAAATAAATTGAATATGATTTGAGAGGAAGGATGTAAAACCAGGACATTTCTGAGAGCTGATAAAAAACAAGTTGAAAGAAAACTAAAACAAATATATACAATAATATTTAGTTAATAATATTTAATATTAGCTACTTAAGTTTGTCAGCCTAGCTGCCTCTTGAACTCAGCTGCTCCTAAACATTAAATCTAGAAGAAAAAGTAATTCATTGATGAAAGGAGAGATTTTATAGAATCACAGAATATCCTGAGATGGAAGGGAACCATGAGGATCATCTAGTCCACCTCCTGAGCTGTACCTTTAAAGCTGTACCTCTTATATTTTAAAAGATTATATTTTATAAAGAACTAATCAACAAATAATTATTACTCATCCTGTTTGTGTTCAATGAGATGCTTAAAGAACTGTGAAGGAACAAGGTAACAAAGCCCATAATATTCCGTTTCCATGCACTGTCATTTGCCAGACCTATAAGCATAACAAACCTGACTTCTATGCTACAGGACACACACCCTTCAAAGAATCAGTTCCAGAAAAGACAGCTGCTAATTATTTCCAAATGTTTTGTTTGAGTGTCTATCTTCAAAACACTTTGGATAACCTAGGTAAAGGAACTGATTCACTTCTAATGTGCTGTCAGTTGCCGGTGTGACTCTTTTGGGGCCAAAATCAACACCAGTGTAGTTATTCAAATCATTGGGCTTGGTGGGGCTCCTCAGACCAGGCAGCAATGTAAGATCAGTGTTTCAAAGCAAGATGATTTACCCTGTCAGACTAAGGACTGATGGTACAACTACTTAAAAATAAATCATTGTTCAAGTATATTCAGCAAAAAAGACAAACCCAGATAACTCCCCCTCTCTATAACGTTTCTTAGAAATAATAACAGATGTCAGAGATGTAATAATTAACTACTCACCCATCCTTTTCTGCCAAAACCACAAAAGCAAAAATCAATCAGACTAGTCTATCTGTGAAGATACATCAAGTCTAGTGAGATTCCAGAATATCCTGCTGGAAAACTTAACTACTTATCTCAATACACTGATAGAGAAGCTATTTCTCTCTCCCATAACTACCAATTTTCTAAGTCCACTGCCCCCGAAATAATTCTTGATCCACATCATCCACAAATTGTGTCACTGGCAGTATGACTTAAACTGAAGATGAAATACAGTACAAGTGGTAGAAAATATTTTCAGAACTTTGCTGCTTGAGGAACATAAGACTTCATGAAAGATAGAGCTTTTCTTCTGGATGACTCAAAAACCCCCCAACAAACTAGTCTTTTGTGACAAAATGTGAAAAATCTCACACAGACAAACTCGATGATGCTTACTCAGCTCTGCTTTCCATATTGAAATCCATTACTCTCTTAAAAAAAAAAAAAAAAAAAAAAAAAAAAAAAAAGTTTTATTCAGTCTATACTTACCATTACTGCTGTAGAATACTGTCACTGGTGAGTTCAACAAAGTCCAATATTACCTCCAGGAACCTATATCTCCCACCACAGAGGAGGATATGGCCAAAATACCATTCTGAATATTTGTAGAGGTTTTGGTTTCACTAATAGTCTAATACATTCAAAAACTCCCTCAGAAGAGAAATCTAGAAGTCTTCCTAAACACGGACTCATCTTTAATCTTTGCTAGGAATTCTGTGCAAATATATGGTAGACTATTCAGACTGCATTAAACTAGATTTTCATGCTATCTCTTTCCATCTATCTGCTTTTTCTGATGTATTCTTCCTCACATACTGCAGAATCTTTTATTATGATCAAAGAATAGATACTCTGTTTGCAAAATCTGAAAGAGTTAAGGCACCCTAGGATGTGTAGTGTTTCCAGTTCTGTTTGTCCTGTACAGTCATTCCACATCCCCAGAGGACAAAGATACCAGAATCTCTTCAATAACGCTACAATAGCAAAAGCATGTTAACCAGTTAGAGAAGGCATACAAAATTAGATACACAGCTGCTCAGATTAACCTGACCTGTCTGTATACACATCTTTAGCATGAAATTGATTCTTTATCATTTGTTAAAATTCCATTATTTTAATACAATTGACATTACAGATGCTGTTGTTCTGAGACAGAAAATGCCAACAAAAACTCCTAATAATAATGGCTTGTATTTATCTCTTCTGGGGCCACAGAACTATTAAAGTTTATTTAGCAGGTCTCAGGAAAACCTCCTAGATTAAGTTTCACTTACCCAGTCTATTTTATCCATATTCCAATATTTTTTTAAGTCACGGAACTGCATTAGCATCCCCTTCAAGCCCACAACAATAATGCTTGCTAGCACACACTGCAAAGAAATAAAAAACAAAAGCCATTTGCAGAACTGGTACTGAAAACAAGTGTTCTTTCTTCAATTTATCAGTCAATATTATAAAAATTGTCAAAAAAAATAAGTTAGTGTTTAAAAATTGGGATAAGCACAGGTGTCTGTGACACAATGTAACAGTATCAAATGCATTTTTTTTTCCTGAAGGCAATCTATAAGCCACCTAATTGTGAGAAAAATGGCAGAAACTTCAGGACTTCCCAAGACTGTCCATGCGTCACAGACCAACTACATTCAGCCATAGTCTGTGGGACTCAGAAGCAAATCAGCACTCAACTTCTACAAAGCGAAGAATTTTAATTCCCCTTCTTCACCACCTAGAGAAGGCCTCTAGAGTAAAAACAAACATTAAGTTTGAGGCAAACAAAATAATTTATTGTTCTCCAAATTGGAAAGGGGGAGGAGATGGATGGAAAAGCCATCTGGAGCCAAATAAGATGGAGTACAAAGAGATGGACTTAAAATGCATAGTCAGAGAGGGCTGTAAAAACATAGTAGAAAATAAATACAATATCAATAAAGCAACATACAGAAAGTTTTTTGTTTTTTGTTTTTTTTTTTTTTAAATACGGGGAAAAAAAGCATACAGAAATCCAGTCAAAATTTACACATAATCCATATAAAAAATGAAGGGAGGAAAGCAGTATAGTAAGAAAAAGGACATATCGTGTACCTCTCTTCAAGTGTCCTTACTTTGCATGGTTAAAATTAACTATAAAAGGATCTGTGTTTGAAAAGTGAGAACCTTCATGTGACATGATATAAACAATAACACAAAGTAAATTTAAAACACAGTTGTGATAACATTTCACGTACAAACGTGGCAAAATTATGGATAATTTTGGAGCTTTATTTTGCATCTTTGACATGCCTCTAGTTAAAACTATTAATTTATATTACCAAAAGCTAGATATAGCTTATGTGAAAGCACATTTGTTGCTTTACAGAGTCTTAGTGCAGAAGATGTATTCCATGATGGAGATATAAGAATACTTCATAAACTTTCTGTAATTAAGTTTAGATCACTACCTACAATCATTTGTGTCAAATTTATCTGAAAAGCAAAGTCATACATCATATGTGTAACCAGAGAATAATTGTGGATCTTCGTTAATTTCTACCACAGTTTGTCAATTTACAAATACACAGTAATCTGGATATATATTCTTTATAAACCACATGCCAAAAGTAAGTAGAAGAGAAATGCTTTCTTATATACTTATGTGATAGCCTATATATGCAATTATGTATGTATCAAATCTATGTGTATTATGTTGTCACCTTTGTATTTTATGATTCTGAGACTTGATGTGACCTTTCTATTCTTTCTCTCATTGAAATTAAATAGAACTGTTTTAGAGGTAGTACTATCCTTCCCTTAAAGATAACAAGTAATTAAAAAATGTTTGACATAATCTTTAAAAGAGAAGTACTGTACCATAGGCAGCCAGTACAGCATTGGTCCAATTGCATAGATCACCACAAGAATTAATACACAAGAGATAAGGCAAGCCACCTAAAACAATAGACAAGAAAAACAGATCATTTAATCTAACCAAAAAAAAAAAACAAACAAACAACCAAACAATAAAATGTGTGAAAAGGACTAATTATCAAATATTGTAGACAAAGTCAAGAATGAGATGTTGAAGATGTTAGCTATTATCATACCTATGGGTTGCAGGTGCATATGATTTCAGTTTTAATCTCTGGTGATTACCTTCAGACAACTACAGTGAAAACATAGTAAGAGATCTCAACACCTGTACTTGACCCTGCTGACCGTGCACAGACACAGATCACAACATCACTTACACATTTGGTTATTAAATGGAGCATGTGTGTGCAATATTTCATCCCACAGGTTTTGCAGCACCCACTGTCATTCTGTATATTCTGTATATTTATAGCCATGCACTCTATGTTGCACTAAATAACACGTCTGTCATAGCAATGAGCAAAAATAATATATAGAGAACCATGTCATTATTTTTGCACAAGATTTCTAACTTCTTTTACTGGGATTAACACTAAAAGGAAACTATTGCGTCAATACAGAAACCACAATGATTTCCTGTTAACTAGAGTGGACTTCACTTCAGAAAATGTAGTAACTATTTTTAATATATATTTAAAAATCATAATTAATGCAGGTGACATAAGTCCAGACAAATATATGGTCTAAGAATTATATCTTTCTTCACAGTATTATATGGTATTAATCTGATGGAAAACTACAGTGAAATTGCAGACTCCTACTTCACTCTGACTGCTCATAAAGTAGAGTACTTCTGGTCTCATTAAGATACAGTCCAGATTCACAGAAGGTTTTTGACAATAAGTAGACAGATGCTCACTTTATTTTTATATCGATAATATGTTTCTTTACTAAAATAATTAGGTTTCATTTTAAGAGACAAGTTGTTAAAAACAAAACCAGACAAGTTGTTAAAACACTAGAAAATTAAAGCCATGGAATACTTAAAAATACCATCAAGAAGGATAGACAGAGTGTTTACAGAAAAAGGGACACAAAATCTGTGGTAAAGTCACAAGGAACTTTTCCCTCTTTTAGCCTTCTCAAAAAGAAACAAAAAAAAAGTGTTGATTCTATGTGAAGAACATTTCTAGCTCATGATACAGTCCCACACTTCTGTGTGATCCCAGGAAAAGATATCACTGAGGAATAAATGACATCACTGAATCCTAGGTATAGCCACTGGAGAAAAAAAGGGCTGCTCTGAGTCCCTGAAAGACTGCATTTCTTTCATGATGTACGTCAAAGTACACTGACTTCTCTCTGTGTAGTCAAAGCAACCCCTCACTCTTCTTTATGCCTATGATCTGACCAACATTTATTAGCGTGTTCTTTTCATCTCTTTGTTCTGCCTAGACAGCCCCAAAAGTAGAGGATTAAGTGGATGTGTTGCTTTCCAAAAAAAGAAGGTAGGAGAGAGAATTTTGTTTACGCATGGCCACACTGCAACTTTTGGATGCAGGCTCTGCTATACTGTGAAACCAATGGATAAACCTCAGCAGACACTTGTTATTTTTACCATGCACTTCCTACCTTGAAATCCAACTATGGTGGTTTATTTCCCCATTTTATATATTGAATAACCTTCTATTGAGGCCTTTGCCTACATGTATCAGAGCCAAATTTCTCGAATACCCTCTATGTCTTCAGGGTATAGGCCTTCAGGTATGGGTCTTCAGGTTACCTTAAAGCTTCCTTGGAAAAGCCATGATGCGGTACAACTGCAAATTGTGCAGTTGTGAACAGGGAATAGAAGAGGATGTCTGTGATGATGAGGGCACATGGCATGACATTGAATCCAACTAGAAGATATGAAATAGCTGATAGCTGTAGCTAAACTGTTTGCAGATATATGCTCTTAAAGATTATTATCGAAAAAAATATTCATTATGATTAATCAAGTTCCGAGTACTGTGTAGGCTAATTACCAAGTAATTAACATGTAGAGTTTTGAAATAAAGCCCTGTATCATTTCTTAGTACTGTGGTATCTCCATAAGAAATAATTGTAGGACACTGTCAAGAAGAAACAGTACCTATAGACTGTGCTTAGCCTTATTGGTTGTTCCTTGCAATTAATGTTCTTTACACAGGCAAGAGCAACAGTTATAAAAAGACAGTAGCAACAAACTCCAAAGGACATAACATTTATATGGCAGGATGCCACTGGTGGACCCCTGAGTTTCAGAGGAAGGAGGGAGAGGCAGTGCTTAGGGGGCTGCCCTGGGGTCTCCCAGCTGCAGTGAACCACGTGGTGCCATCACACGCAAAGCTCACAGATGAGTGGTGTGCTACCCCTCTTGTTCATGAGCACTATCCGGACAGGTAACAGCCTCACAGGGTCACAATTATCATTTTCGGCAATTGCGGTTCCTTCTTTTCTGAGCTACTGCAATAAGAACTTGTGGGTTCAGTTTCCAACAGTAGGAAATAGGCCAAAAATTCCTCAAAAATCTGAGACATCTCTGTGGGCTCAGTGTATACTGAAGGACAGAACAAGTACACCATATCACATGTCAGAATTTGGGAGATTACTTGTTTTTTTGTTTTTGTTTTTTTTTTAACAAGAAGCTCTTACGATTACTTTCAATGTATTTTGAAAATCAAATAGAAGCACTAAATTAAATCTGACTTTTTTCTAAAACTTCAGCTTAGCTTGTACCATTAAATCTATTAAACACCATTAGATGGCACTTTTGTTACAGTGCTGACAAATTCACATAAAACAGAAACACCTTGTGTATATGTTCCTGCAGTCTGAAAACAAAATTCCTAACTTCACTACTGCGACAGACTTCAGAGTTTATATTGAATTAAATAGATAAAAATGAAGAAGTGGAACCATTAGCTTTTCTAGTAAGACAGTTGCTGATCAGATGCAATTCCATGCAGATTGTTAAAAATAGCAGGGCAGAGTAATTTCCTGGGACAGAGAAAAAGGCAGAACAGGGATTACAATGGATAAATCAGTACAAGTTCCAGTGAGCAGTATCATAACCTTAATTCTTCTACATATTTCACTCTAACCCATTACCTGTGTCTTGGCGCCCGTACTGTATAAAAGTGCTGTCCGTCCCATCGCTGCAGCACTTGGTATGCAAAAGAAAAATGAAGGAATCACGTTGCTGAGGCCATGAGCCAAAAATTCCTGTAAAGTTGTTAAATAGAATATGTTTTTCTCCTATTGTTCTGTCATTTCATTTCTTCTTGCCAAGAAAGGAGCCCCCAATATAAATATTATCAATGACAAAGGATGACCATATTTTTTGAGGGAAAAAAATCACATACAAATTTGATAAAAGATGTCCCACCAGAATATATCTTTTCACAACGTAGAACTAATTTGAATAATAGAGCTGCTGAACTAGATTCATCAAAAGCAGGAGGCATATTTTGTTCACAGAATAAATGGTATTGTTAAGTTCTGAAGATGAAGTTCAACCAAAATATTTAGATCTTGATCCACATTTGCTTTTTAACAGACCAGAGTCTCAAATAGTGGGATCTGGACAGCATCCAGGTTGTTTCTGGCTTATGACCCTACTGGAAAAAGACAGCCACTGATTTTTTTTTCTTTTGGAGCGTGCTTTAGTGAAAGTGAAGCATGGTAGCAATACTATCTGCATGCTGTCTTTCATTACAGATGTATTTGGTGTTTACTAACAGACAAAATGCAGACACATCTGATTGAAGATTTATAGAAGAAAAAGTGGAGAAGCCACCTTGTATCTTCAGTCTAAGCTGAACAGTGTCTTCTAAGACAGACGCCCAACTTGGCTACCTACCATCAGTCTTCTTCCCCAGACTGTAAGAAGTTCATTTGTCTGCTGAGGGCAATGTGTAAGAAAAGACCTCAGTACTGCTAAAAGTGCCTAGGACACAAATGGTGTTGTATCCAGCCAGGGCAACACCTGAACATAAGTTTGTCTTCAAAGCATGGGACAGCACCACCTTAAAGCTCCCCAGCCAGCCTTGCACACCCACATGCCACCATGCAGAGCACTATGCCTGGCCCCTGAGTGCCATACAGCTACACCACCCTGCTGCCATTGTAGTCTCTGCTCTCATGGAGGTTTTGCACTTCTGCTCCATTATTTGATGCAGACATACACATCATTTCCAACACGTCAGCAATTAAGCTGTGTAAGCTACCAGATTTCCAAAGGTGCAGAGACATATAGATTGCTGTGCTCCGTTTAGTTCCCTTGAGACAATGCAGTATATTGCCCTGAAGTCTGACCTGTATTAAGCTCAAAGCATTTTCCCTTTGCTCCCTAGAAAACATGGCTCTGAAGCATCAACAGAAATTCATGGCCCAATGTATTAATTCTGAAAAATATTTGAGAGATCCAAGTAAACAAGAATATTCCCACTGTATTTTCCAATGACATAAGAGCTGTAAGGGACATGAACTGACGTAGTAAGACCTGTCTAGATAGGTGTCCAAATAGACCTTCAGCTGCTTTATGCAACCTTGCATCATTTATCCCAAACCACTTAAGAAAAAGGTAGAGACAGCATTTTCACCACTCAGTACTAGTCAGTTATCTAAAATTGAGCTTTTTTTTACCACAGTGCTTGAATTATGGTCTCCATGGATCTCCAGCTGGCTTGGAATTACCCATCTACCATGACAAACAGTGGGGTAATGCAGAAAGTAACTTCCCACTTTCATTTAAGCATGCACACTGTAAAGTGGAACTCTGCACAGAAAGCTCCTATGGATGAAGATTTGGCAGCACTCTGTGAACCTATCCTGCTTCTTTTATACAAATAAACCTTTATTTCAGATGAGACTTCTTTGCATAAGCTTCATTTTATAAAATCAGATATGTCCTGGGGCTACAAGTACCTGGTTTGTTTTTGGAACTGCTTTGCTTCTTTAATCAATGGCTGATTTAACATCTCAGCTTGTCTTTAAGAGCTCAGCTGCCAGAGAAGAAGCTGTCTTGTCTTAGAGCATTGAAAAACTTATTAACACCCAAACACTACACCAAATGCAGCATTACGAGATTATCTTGAAGGAAGTGCTTTACCAGAAGAAGCGGCAAAACCAACCAGGGTGTTCTGCAGGGCTGATTTGGACTAGATTTGGGTTTTACTGTAATCACCAGGAGGCCTCAGGATGCCATATGCAACATGCCCTTTCCTACTGGGCATTCATCTATAACACATTTCCAAAATGGTGAAGCAATTTCAAAGCTTACTGACAGTAAGAAGAAAGAACTTTACCTGGTTGTCATCCACACTGTATTTAAACTTTTTAGCAGAGCCTTGGGCAAGAGCCAGTGATGCTACATAACCAACCAGTGCTACTCCAAAAGCTTCAGTGACTACTTCAGTCAGGACATTCATGGGTGGTGTTTTCGGTGATGGTAACCTATAAAAGAAAAAGACAGTCCTTCAGTCCTTTTTGCAAAGCCTGGTACATAGCCTCAATATACCCGCAATTCATGAAAATATGAGAGAAAAAATCTTTGCATGCACAGCTAATTTTTGTAATACTTCTAAGGTGACATTTTTCAATATTTTAGATTAACAGGATCTCAGTTGGTGGGGAACTGCAGAGGAGAATTTGTAGGTGATGAAACAGTTTCAGATGTAGTATTCCATTTGTGAAATTCAATTTGAGAAATTATGAAGGGATCCTTATAAATTAGCTCCCTCATTGAGAGATAAAATCAGCAAACATTCCCTAATTTTGTAATAGTCAATAAAAGAGACTCTGCTGTATATTTTTTCTTTTCTATAGTTGACTTTCCCGTAATGTTTAATTTAAGCCTTATAAACAATTTAGTATGCATGTAGGATATGGACAGTATGGACATTTATTCCATCTAATGGAGACCTTCTAATGGGGACTGCAAAGAAATGCCTCAGTTAAGAACTGAACCACCCTACATTGTCTTTGTACTCCACAAAAAGACTTGTCACTCCAGAACACAAACCATACCTCCTAAGAGCCAAATTGTTTCTAATGCTCTCCACTTATTTTATTTCAGGTAAATACCTAAAAATACATAGGGATGATCCAGGCTCTGCTTCTGTTTTTCAATACTACAGAATATTCTCATATGAGGTTAGACAGAATATAAGCTCCTAATTAAAGCTGCATGAATATAATTTAACTGTTCATAACACATATCGAAAGGGCACACTTAGCAGTGTTTTAATCTCAAATACATAACATGCAATAGAATGTCCTAAATACATAAAAACAATTTTATTTCTCAGCAACTTTCCTTATTTTATTTATGTCAGTGCAAGCTGCCACACATGCACTCATGCTCTCTTGGACTTGTACTCTGTGAAATTTAGGGAAACCATGCAATTTCCAAAGGGAAGATTACACAGCAGCTGTACTATTCCTTACCAACCCTCCAAGTTTGAACATTCTCTCTGACATCTAATCTCACTTCTCTTTCCAGCTAACTATACTGAATATTTTTTTTTTCCTTCTCTTCAAAGTCATGGAGAAAAATATATCACTATCTGTAGTCAGAATGCTCTTTTATAGATTAAGCATATCTAAATCCTTTACATTTCATCAGAAACCACATTTTCTAAAATTACTGTATAAGTGAGTGGAGAAGAACAAAGTTTAGTAATCTACAAGCCTTGCAAGTCCTTTCTGCTAATAACCCAAGACAGCACACAAAGAGCAGGTTGCAATAATCTCGTAGAGAGTGCTCTGCCCTACTGTCATACCATCAGCCATCATCAGGTATTTAGTACCCATAATTTATTCCATAAAGTAATAAAAAAACTATGAAAATGTACAAGAAAGTCTGCATTTTTACGATGATATCTACACAGATATACCTTGTTAACATGCAGTTGAATTGTGAGACAGTATTTGAGGAGGTTGGAAGTGTACATAATAGATTTTTGCCATTTCTTATTTCAGAAAACTACTTTGACCTCTTCAGAGACTGTTCTCAGAAGTAAACATATTTAAAAGCCACAACCTAATAAAAAACACATTACCCTTTAGGAATATGTCCCACAACTTCTAGCCTGTAGACGTATTCCATATCAGCATAGTAGCAAGCAACAGATGCAGTGATTATCTATTGATTCAACACAGAAAAAAGATGTTATGTTTCTATTGCTTTTAGCTTCTCACATAGTCCCTATTATTTCCATACCTAAGCACATGACAGTGTTCATACATTTATCCTTAAATCAATCTAGTAAGACAGGGAAGTATCATTACGAAAATTTTTGCAAATGTGGAAGAGAGTCAAAAGAAACTAAAATCTGGACACAATAATGAATTTAGAAAAGATGGCTGAAGAAGGACTATGGTGGAGTTTATACATTCTATGTTAATGAAAAGGATCTATACAAGTCTCTGTAAAACCTCAGGAACCTTGCCAGTGTCCAAACTGCCTCTATGCAGACCACTGCCATTGACAGGAACAGCTTAACATAAATCATAGTTTAGGTGCTCCTGATGGTCTGATTCAGCTTATGTTCTCTGTTGACTTTGGCACAAAACACAGCAGAATATGTGGCTGCTTCCTATTTTTGTGTTCTAGCAGGTATAAATCTTGCTGAGGGAGAGGAAAGTTTGGCCCTGAGGAGTTTCAAACTCACTTCCCATTCTTTTTATGAGATGAACACACAAATCCCAATAGAACAGGAACAGGGTCCAGTCCATGATCCTCAGCTGGCTGGTACATTTTATCTAGTATTGTTTAAAAGGTAACACAGGAACAGATCTTAGAGCAGGGACTAGAAACACACAACCTCCTTTCCCAGCATTTTTCCCAAGAAAAATCATTCTTTTGTAAGTAACTTTTTCCAGCAAAAGAAGAGTGATTGTGATGATCCACTCTGAAAAGCACCTGCCATTCATTTTTTTTTTAGAGGTCTAGAGAAAAACAGATATCTTCCGTCCTGGTTCTTATTATTTGACGACATCTTAATCCTTAAAACAGGAATTTACAATACAAAATCTTATTTCAATTTAGCCTATGACACGTGAAAGGAAAACTGTAAGTAAAATTACAGAAAGCAACAGCATAGCTATTTAACTTTGTTGCAAATAAATAACAAGCAACATCTAAGCCACAGCTGCCCCCACAAGACTTGCCTGGAGTTACAACGTGCCAGTTACTTTTCATTTTCTATTTCAGACTTCTTACACTTTAACATTCTAGGCTTCATGTTCTTCGATTATGTAAAAAGTAGTAAACACATGAAAAATATTATACAAATTGGGAACGTATGTCACTTCTTTCTTAATTATTTAGCCAAACTCCTTCCTGTTCTTACATTTAACATACAGCCATGAAAATTAGCTATCCGTTTAATAAGTGGCAGGTGTGGCTGTGGGTAACTGTAGACAACACAGTAAAATTCAGCAGATTAACTGAACCACTGAAAGCTTTGTAAGCAAAAAGTCAGATATTTGATTTTGTACTTACCAAAAATAGATCGATGGGTAGAACAACTTTAATGTTTCTCTGAAATTTCTCATTCAGTTCTTTAACAAGTACAAGCACCACAATGCTCAGCAAGGAGAGAAGTAAAGCCTCCACCTGAACTGATCTGATATTCTCAAATATGTAGGCATAAATCTACAGTGATTAGCAAATAACAATCACAGGTCAAAAAATACACCATTTTACGTATACATAAATATATAAATACATGCTATGGCATATTCTACGCAACTTCAAATATGATAAATAACCTGTGAGATCTGAATCAGTACTACAGGATCTGAGTCATTTGACAATTTACTATTACTAGGGACTTATGAAAACTCAAAAAATGCAGAGAATATTTGTACATATGAATTTACAAAATTCTGTTGGTAAAAGCAAGAAAATTCCAGTAAATGTGATATGTATTCTTTTCTTATTCAGTCTCATTAAATTCAGTGAGATAAATGAACGTTGCACAAAAATGTTGAGAGACGCTTCCATGCAGATTTATCTTCAGTGTCCGTAGCTTATAATATCCATCAACTCTAATAGGAAAAATTACTTCTGAGGAAAAACTTTAAAAAAACAGAAAAGAGGGAGAAAGAGAAGGAAAGAGAATAACAAAAAGGAAAAGAAAAATGCAGTAATAGCTGGATGGGAAGAGAAGCAACAGCAATCTTCCTAGATGATCATCCTCTTCAGGTATTCCTCTCCAGTGCATGAGGGTGCCCATCCAAATATTTTTCCAGAGTAACTGTATAGCTTCAGCAGGACACACTCAGTCTCCCTCTTGGCTGCTTTTGCCCATTACAGAAAGAGTGCTCCATGGAGCACGCTTTGATCAGGTCCGGATGCAGCCCATACTAATTAGCTGTCAAGCTTGTGTACGCATGCTATTGTCTATTCAAACAACTAATGTTATCAACTAAGCCCAGTTTCTTTCGTTAGCATAAACTTATAAATTAAAAGCTGCAAAGCAAGAGGTAAAAAGAGGGTAGGGGAAGAAAGGGTGATTCACACATCAGTGGCAAATGCTTTCCAGGAGAAAGTCTCCACATCAAGGTGCAGGAATTGCAGGTTCAAGGGTGCGGGGGGGGGGTGGACCATGAGGTTCAGAGTCCTGCTGCAGCTGGCTGTGGGATGTTGAGGAAAGGCTACATCACTGCACAAGAGGCAGACTACAGTGTTAAAAGAGAAAGAGGAGACTGGAGTAGAGCTATGGAGCTGCAAATGGGAAGCCTTCAGATTTTCAAAGGTTAAGGTGTGGTGCAACATGCTGTGAGAACATAGTTAGAAAAATATAGTTGGGTCTATGATGAAGAAATGAAATATGGTACTGAATACAGGGAAGATAGAATAGAAATATGGATTAGGAATAGAATGACCAATGATGATGACTAATAAGGGTCTCTGATGATGAACACAATGTTGTAACAGACTCAGAAGAATGCAGTTGCCTTCACACCAGCATAGATGACACAGTGAATTGTAATTCCAGTTCCACTCTGAATTTGAGGATCCAGAAAATGAGGCATAAATCAGTATGATAACAAAGTAACTGAAAGTAATAAAAAAAAATTACAGGTTTACTAGAACAGTTAGAAGAGTTGAAAGAAGTTAGTTAGAGGGAACTTCTGTCCTGACAAACAAAGAAATAATCAAATCCCTATTACGAGTTATTTTCAGGACTCAGAAATAAAAACAACAGTCTATTGCCTGGAGGAACAGAGAAGCACAAAAATGGATATAATACAAATGTTTAGTAAAGCTACAGCGGAGGGGAAAAAAAAAGGTAAGCTTAGTCCCTTGAATCCTGCATTTATATTCTGGAAACTATTGTGTAGCCTAAAATGTAAACCATAGAAAGAACAGAAGTTAAAATCTAGGATGTAGATTTAGACTGCATCACAAGTAACTTCTTTTTAAACCACAACATTAAGGATAATAAAATCAAGCAGCTGAGGCTTTAAATAATAATATATATATAATTATATATATATATATAAGGTATTTTCTCTGGCAATGACTATGATTACCCTTAAAATAAATGAAAAGTGACACTTGTATTTTTATCAAAATAAAGATTAATAATTTTCTGTCCCAGAAAACCTATTCTCAAATACGTGTATACTGCTAACAAGATTTGACAGTTTGGAGTTTAAGTACAGATATTTATATTGGACAGGAAAAAGTACTAGAGAAATTATCTTAAGAAAGAACCCTGTTCTAGCAGAAAGGTGGTCAATATGATGATATTTTTTTTTAATACTGATCTGATTCTGTCACTCCTTGAAGAGATGATGCTCAATTTGAAGAATGATTAAATTAACTTCCTGATTTTTCCTCTCTCGCACTTTCTATTTTTGTAATCAATAAGGAAAAAAAACCATAAATTAAAACAAACAAACAAAAAAATAACTAAAAATGGTTACAGAAAAAGAGACATAAAGAGGAAAATTTAGTCCAGTCCTTTGAAATTTAGCCCTTGGACTTTTGATTAAGGATGTATAGCATAACCCAAATCAAACATTTCTCAGAACCCAGGAAAACATTTTAAAATCAACATGTTAAATAATATGATCTATATATGTCATAAATCCGAAGAATGGTAATTAAACCATGGTTTTTAACCACGTATTGCCCCACTGTAATCAGACAATATGTGGATTGTGTCTTGAGTGTCTTGGGACTAGTCTCTGTACCTATACTTTTCCAAGAATGCAATTTCAAGAGAGGACAGGACTTGGCTCAGTGCCCAAGCAGAAGCTGTGATTAATTAGGACAAAAGCAGGCAATCTGGAAAACTATATTGTGAATTGTGCCCATAAGCTCACCAAAGGCTGAGCTAGATCTAAGGTGAAGTGGTAAGAAAAGGGAAAAAAATGACTGATTCTTAATTGTCGAAGTCAAAGAGATGTTGGCTTGTTTTGAAATGAACGGTGTCTATTGAAGTGTCAGCATTAGCCATCTGTGTTTATGGCATTTAATTTAATTTTCTTAGACAAAGTGAGAAATAAGATTTCGTAAATAAATATAATTTTAATGAAAGATGACAAAGGAATATACATAAGCTTTTAGAATTTCTTTCTTTACAAATTGACTAAATAATAATCTTCCATTTAATTTTTAAAGTATATAGTCAAATCTTATAGACCTTTGTCACAACTTTTTCAGAATTTGCCACAAAAGCTTTATATGAACTGCCTAGTGTATTCTTTGGTCTTTCTCTTCAAATTGTGCCCTTCACTACGTAGCCTACATCAGCCAATAAACGAGAAGGAATGAAACTGCCAATTCTTCATAGCTCATATGAGTTTAGCGGCACCAACAGTCCTATCCTCAAAGTGTCTGTAGCACACTGAAACAATTCTGACAGTAATACATAAATATTAAATCAATTACTACATCAGACTGAAGAGTTTCCACTGACTACTCTGTTCCCAGGTGACCATTCTCTGAAAACCTGAACACACCCGTTTCATGATATGACCAGCATATCCAGGAGGCCTCTTCACAAACCACTTGGGCTTTCAGAAAGAAAGAGCGTGTGGCTTTTAACATACACTCAAGACACAATCACATACTATACAGTAGACTTGTATGAGTATGAGTACAGTAACTGACCGGACAGTATACATGTGAACTGTATAGTATAGAGAGATGGCTATAGTGTATGTTAACCACACACTATACAGTTCACATGTTATACTGTCCAGTCAGTTACTGTACTCATACTCATTACTAAATGTAAACACCTAAATCTCAAGCTTGTAACAGCACTGGCATCTGTTTCAAAAGAAATGTTTACAAATTTTTTCATCACAAACATCATTACAAATTCAGTATTTTACATATTTTGCTGATGCACTTACTGAAAGAATTTAGAAACTATGTAGTAGAATTTTGTTTGATATTGCACTGTACGAAGCAATTTTTTGTGTCATTATACAATTAACAAAAATTAAAAATACAGCAATAATATATTGAGCTGTTTGTCTCTTAGTTTTTATTTTTTACTGCTAGTTTTGTGCAAAGATTTTTAATGGGAAAGATCCAGCAATATTATGAGGAATCGAACCTTTTGTCAGTAAGTGCAAATTTGCACATAAGTGAAAAAAGCAATATTATAACTTTGCACACATACATATACAGACACTGAATTTCCCCATTCCTATGGGAAATCAATGTCTTTGATTTCCACTATATTTTCTCATACTTTCATAGGGTAAAAATATACAATGTAATCATTTATATTCTAGAAAATATGTGCATTCTGATGTATTAATAAAATGCTCTGAGATATTTTTTTTAATGTATACATGAAACTCCAAAAATTTAGTTCTAAAATGAGTGTTGAGGCTGAAGCAAACAAAAGAATTAAAGGAACATACTAGTTAAAGCACTGATACAGTTTAAGTGTAGATGACATCATTGCATCTTCAAAAATGTTTCATTCTGATGCTTGTTGGACAAATACATCACACTGGGGGAAAAAAGTAGAGGCACCTATTGAGAACTGTATAGGGAACAAACTGGGAGAAAAAAAAAAGGAAAAACAAGGACTGATAGAGGGAACATGAAAGTTTTTTTCATCTAATTGAAGCTTACCACAAGGATTTTGCAATAAGCTTGTAACAGAACCACAAAAAAACCTTTTGCAAATTAGTTTTGTTACATTGCAGTTCATTTTGCAGTGCTGCATTTTCTCAGAAACTTGTGGAAAGATAAATATATCTACACATGAATAAAGGGCAAATATAGATATGTTTTTCTATTTTCAGATACTAAGAAAAACTTGATGACGCTTTTCTTGTCCCTTGTAAAAATTAGATCTCACATGTAGTCTTCCCTCACCGTTTTTCTTCTTCACCTTCACCTTGCCTTTCTCATTCACAAAATACCAATTAATGTGGCAGCGTGCAGATCAATTGCAGTGTTACAAACCATGTACAGGGAAAATGAAATTTAATAAATTACATAAACTCTATGTAAACACAAAGAATCCCATAGGCTCAACACCAGTGTAGTAGATTTGTTCTCCATATGCAAAGTTCATTTTTACATATTTAATCATGATCTCACTTGCTATAAAGAATCCATTTCACTGGCTTGCTTTACTTTCAACTCTCCTATCACACTTTATTAAACATTCTTATTTTGCTTTGCCAACCCAAAGGCTGCCTAAGGCGAAGCAATTGGCTTTGTGAGTGGGAGGTGTTTTGGAGTGGAGAAAGAAAAAAGTAAGTGAAAATACCAGTCTTTGGGTTTCAAGAATTTAGAGTAAAGAACATGTCAAGAAAGACATGCCAAATTTGTCTTTTACTCTCTAGTTACATGTGCACAGCAACAGATATCTAATTAGTATATTTTTCATATAGAACTACCACCACAGCAAAAAAGAAAAAAAAAGTTAGAATCTAAATCTGGCGCTTCTGACAGAGATACTGGACCTTCTTAAAGCAACCCATAAGTCTGAACAGATACAAGAAACTTTTTAAGTACTTGTATGGTAAAATTATTCCTTCTAAATATGGAGAGTTTTTAATTATTCTTTTAAGTTTTATAGAGGGGTTTTGTTTGTTCATTTGTTTTCACACAATTCTACAGAGCAATTCAGAACCTTAAAAAATCAGGAAAATTTTTATTTGGAAAATTTTCAAAGCGGTTTGATTTCAAAAGTGAAATGAAGGGCAAATAACTTGTTTCAGATACATTAAAAAAATACAAGGGATAAGGGAATAGATTTCTTTCAAAGCATTTCAATGACCTCATTTATGATATCATCAGCACACCAACGTGGAAATATTTCTTCATATCACTGCTGTTCTTTATTATTGCTCATAATGTATATTTTGATTATGTCTTGGCTGAGGTACTTAACACCAGTCATCTCTACAAGATGACAATATTCCTATATGTAAGTATAGTCTCCATGGAAATTCCATGAAAAAGAAGCTAGTCACATTTTATATTAAGAAGTATTTATAAAAAAGACTTAAAAATTCTTTTAATATATATGACGAATCATTTGTAATAGTCTCACAGGCCAACTGACAACTTATAAAATGGCTATAACACTTTTATTTATGTCCCTACCAATAAATTATGTGCATTTATTATGTGCCCTTAATTTTCATTAATAAATTAGTCCTGTAAAAAACTTAACAGTTGATTATCCATACAAAATATTATCAAATTTATAAAATATTATGAAATAGTGTTTTAAAAAGCAGCATCTTCTTATGACAGAGTTCACATTAACAAATTCCTCAAAATAATAGGAAAAAAAAAAAAAAGAGCAAAGCAGTGCAAGAAAATATAGTCAGTGCTTTTAAATAAGTTGTCCTGATTTAGTGAGTAATTAGATGAAGCCTCACTTTGTCTGGTAATCAATTCATTTACTGCTAACAGTGCAATGTAAATATCACCTTGGGAAGTAAATAAAGTTTCATTATGAGCAAAATATGATTTTGACATATGTTATTGTAATACTACTAATGCTCCTGCCAAGAGATTATGCTCACAGCACCTAAACTTAGGGTTCGCTGGAAGAAGTTACTGTAAACTATATGTTCTCATATCTTTTATGCAATAAGATTATACAACTTTTCCCTTTAAGGTTTCAGCCAACAATATCTACTTTCCGAAGGAAGTAACCATGATACTGTATGAAAGGCTGTATGCATTTTATAAAAATTACCTTAAAGACATACACTTGCTGTGCTTATGGATAAATAATATAATGTCATAAAGCAATAAGTAACATATCTAGGGTAATTTTTGCATAGTAGATGCACAAATCATGGGTAATTTTCCTTCTACCACAATGATGGTGAAGTTTCACTCTTCAAAACATGAAGAAAATACGTTTAGAATGATAACTGGATATATCCTTCCTACATGATGATCCAGAAAGATCATCCTTGTACAAGTGCATAATTGCTCGGGATAATAAATAGAATTATTGGTGTTGAAGTACACATATTTTAAATTTATCACCGTATCCTTTCAAATAAGACCCATTCTTTCTAATTCCTCATCAAGTTTTCCTAATCTGTTCTTTCAAACAGACCTAGCAAGGTGAAGGTTTTGGTATTACAACTTCTGTTCATTCACATGCATTCATAACAAATTTCTTACACTTATATATAGCCAAATAGCATATTTATTTAAGAAAATATTAGCTAATGGAATAACCCAGCTCTTTTACTGAACTCACATGAAAAAAGCCCAGTGGTCCCGATATATACGGCATTTTCATTCCCAGCAGATATTTCACTTGTGAAGTCACAACGTGAGTAGCTGCTCCTGTTGTCATTGCGCTTATCACTGGTTCTGTTAACAAGAAAGTGGCACTGCCCAACTGCAGCATAAACATCGCTACCTAAGAGGCAAAAGCATGTGTATCAGCAATTATGATAAATGCAGCTTCCTGGTGATAGGACAACGAGTCAGATAAAGACTAAAACCAAAAGTCCTTTGAAGAACAATTATAGCTGAAAAGGGAACCCACTGAAGCTCTGTGGGTTTACCTTCACTATCTTACTCACATCAACAGTTTACCAGACTCTAATGTTAGTTTAGGAACAAAAGCGGACTCATAGAAACTGTGCTCATTCAGTGCTTAGTATTCTTTCTTGATCAAATATGTGAGCACATTAAACACTATAAAAACATTAACTCAACACAACAACATGAAGTAAAGAAACTCAAAAGGTGAGGGTGGTGTTAAGGCTCATTCCTACTCCACTGTTATTCAGCCTGAGTATGCAAAGGGCCACATCCTGGTCCAGCTTACTTATTGCCAACATGTCCATATCAGGATTTCCAATGTTAGTAATTTCAACAGCTACCAAATTTATTAGGTGCTAACACTACAGAGAGATGAGTCTCATAGTGAGAGCTCCATCATCCCACAGAGCCCTTCCCTGCCCCAGGCTGATGCACCATCAGATTTCCCTTCCCACGCAGTCACACAACTGTTTTGCTCCTCCCGTGGACCCTCAGACCCCTGGCATCCCCCTGACCCTGTGCATATGGTTCAATATACTGTGATATTTGGTGCTCTTGTGCTACACTATAAGAATATCAAATAGGTCAAGTATTGCCAGTCCACTACCCCTAGTTACATCAGCTTCATACGTTGGGGTTTCTGGTTTTGCAGGTATTCAGGTAAGGAACAAACAGAAGTTGCTTCAGATGGTGGAGGGTATAAAAATACTTACCTTGTTTACAGAGAAACAGGGATGTTTATATAGCTATGTGTTCTGTATGAACAAATTTTATAAAAATATAGTAAAAGTAAACTATTTTTAAAACCTTTAAAATCTACTTCCTGTGCATTTGACAAAATACTTGAACTGACTTAGAGTAGAATACCTGTATACAACCAGAATATTTAAAACATTAAGAAAAATTCAACAACCGATTTCATAAGAACAATCTCATATACAAAGTGGATTTCTCTGCTAGAAAAAAGAGTAGACTTTGGTTCAACTATATTTAACCCTGAAGATTTTTTGAGCTTTGTTGCAATTTCTACAGAAGTTATTTCAGAGTAAAGGCATATAATGAAAGAATAATATTCCCCTCTAATCCAGGAATCTGGACTACATCTGACTCTACAACTATTGTAGATACTTTGTAGGAATATAGGACAAATACCCAAAGTATTGTTGTGTACTATGGTGTTTTCTCCCTTTATCACAGGCTGCAATCACAGTTTTTCTCTGAAAAATGAGACCTGACAGGTCTTAATTCCTTGAACAAAGTTCTACATACCTACAAATGCTACTGTGGTTACCGTAACGCTTATTTTTTTTCTGATCCATATCTAGATATTAAGTTACATTTAAATTATCTCCCCTTACAATGAGTTCTGCAGATTTATTAGATAAAAAATCAGTTTCGTACTTCTATAATCTTTTGCATTTGTTATCCTTCTGCCTGAAAAGTTACATTCTCTTGGCACAGAGCTGTTTATTTTCTAAGAGGATTACTCTGTGTTTACCATACTAAATATCCTTTTGGAATATATCACAGCCTCCTTTGCTTTATTTTGTTTTGTTCTGAAGCTAAAAGAATATTTTCCAAATGTTATCATTCTTTGTGCCTGAACACCATTTATTTTTTTCACCAGATATCTCACCTGTATGCAGTGAGCTATAATAGGACAAAAGAAATAAAAATACTAAAGTGAGTGGATTTTAATTTACCACAGAAACCTCTAGTAAGCAATTTCCTCTTCCATCTGAGAGATTAAATCTGAGATTTTTTTTTTCTATTTCCCACTAGTAGTATGTGAATGGCTCTGTACTACGAACAATCATTGATTGCCATTCAAGATTGGACCCCAATAATGATAATTACTGTTATACCCTCAGTGAGTAGTAATTTAGTTAGTCAGGCCTAAAAATGATAATTACTAACTTCATTAGTTTGTTTAGCTGTTTGTTCTAACAATGTGCCTATTCATGTATTTAAAATATTGTTCACAGTAGCAAAGTTCAATAAGAAACAAATTCTCCCTTCCCTAGTGAATTTTTGTTTTCTAAAATCAGTTTGTATTGTATGGATGTGAAATTTCTAACTGTGTAACAGCTATGTTCCCAGAGAATGAGACAGATGTTTATTTAGCTGTGGATTCAAAACAATGGAGACAGTTCTGTGAAATACGTATCACAGAGAAAGGTAAGTTAATATTATCATTGCAGAGAAAGTTATTATGGTGAATTACAGGGAAATGGTGTCACAATTACAGAACTTAGAAATTTCAACACTACTCTCACATTTACTTTTTTTTTTTTTTTTTTAGTTTAAATCTCCAACATTTTAGGGGGATGTCACCCTATTTCACAGATAGTAACTAAAAGGTCACATTTCAAGCATACTTTTTATTGTTTGTTTATAACCATGAGTTATATAAAATACATCCAATCCGTGAGTATAGTTTCAGGTAGACAATTTCTGTAGTCACTCAGTTAAACAAGCAGCAGCCTACGTGGGTCCCCTGTCTCTTACTGCAGAAGGTAGCTCAGGACTTTGAGAAACAATGGCAATGCTTTATCAGCATATACATCCTACTCTTTATGTACATTATAGTTAAATAGATATAATGTACATCTATATATCTTCCATGGAGAAGATCTAACAATGAAGCAAGGAGAAAAGAAAATATCCCAAGAGGAGGGTGTAATTTTCAGGATATGCTAGTATGGGAAACTCCTGCTGTCCTTGCAACATGAGCAATACACAGAAACTGTTTAGATGAAGAGGCAGCAAAATGTTGTTTTGAAACAAGCCTCCCAAATCTAGTTGAATGTGAGTTTTCTTGACAGATGTACTTAATAATGTTAGCACTTATACAGGCCCAGATCAGTTCTTCAGTTAACCCTCCATGCTCAGGAACAGACATACAGCTCTAAGCTTGGCTGCCACTGCTTTTTGCATAAACGCCAGTTGAAACTAAGCTGAACTGACAGCACACAATTGCATCACATTGTGTTATGTCATAATATCTTTCACCCACTAAGTAACAACCAAAATGGAGAAAATTCAATATTCTTAAAGAAATTTCTAATAATCTACTTGTTGTGGTCATGATGTGGGCTTCCCATTTTATTTTATGATATATTATATGATTTTTCTTCCTTCTTGATTCAGAAAAATTACAGGGAAATCTGACAGTGAAGTGTCAGAACAGCAAAAATATAAATTACCAAAAAATGCCAAAGGCAAAGAGTTTTCTCTTTTCATTATTCGTACTAATGCTGGGATTTTCTTAAATTGTAAAAGGAACAAAATTTTCACATATTTTAGGATTGCCTCCAGAATTCTTCATTTTTCAAAATTTAGCTCTTAAGGGATGAAGGAATATTTAAGAGAGAGAACAATTGCAATAATAAAAGTTACTTGTAAGGTGCATGGCTACAGTTTCCTTGTGTAGCTTTTTCAGTACATTACACTACGTTAAAAGGTTCATTAAATAGCTTTCCTGAGATGAATTTTGCTTTCACTAGGCATACAGTCTTGATTACATTCATGTGAATGAAATCGGTACCTGTCATAGAAGGGAAAAAAACCCACAGGAGAAAGTAAGGGAAAGCAGCCTTGTCTTAATGCAAAGTAAAGGAGAGAAGATTATGGAAACAAATTACAAAACCAAGAGATTAGAAAGAAGTGTTGGAAGATGGGATTTCTAAAAAAAAAAAAAAAAAAAAAAAAAATAGAAAAAAAGAATTATAACCAAAGTTGAGAATGGAAGAAAGATAATACAAGAGGAACTTTTTCCTGCAGCTGTCTTTACTGCTCCATAATTTTACCCTGACAAGTAGAAAAAGAGAATGGGGATTTAGCTAGGAGAAGAGAGATGAGTAAAAGCAAAAAGCAAAGCTCTGATATTCATTAATTTAAGCCCTTTTGGTTCTTGTCCACTTTCCATACTTTCTTCCCATGACAACACACTCAGTTTATTATTGTTAAAATGCCACTCACTGTGTAGTCATTCTAAATTTATGGCTAGTAAAAATTTTTATCATGTAACAGGCATTTTTGTAAATCACTAATCTCAAACTTTCTATCCACAGTAATTGAAAGGTTGATATAATGTTTATCTGCTGCATGAATTCAGTTTTTGAGAATGAATTTGAAATCCCGCAAAACTCCACATGCTGGAAGGTGAAGATTTTCTTCACCACTAAACCAAACAAAAAGTGGTGGTACTCTTTCTGATCATTTGCTGCATGAGCTAGGAAGATGAGGTCAGCCACAGGGAATCTGTCTTGGAATGAAACAGTACAGACTGTGAACCTCTCATTTAGTATGTTTTATTGGTTATCTCAAAATTGGAGGTTGCAAAAGTGAGGACATCTATAGGCTGTCTGGACACCAGCTGTCAGACACAGACACTTCAGCTTGACTGAGACACCAATTTAAAACTCTTTTTGGCCTGTTTCAATAGACATTATAATTGGGGCCTTTTGGTCTTTCGAATTACAGCTCTTAAATTCACTGTGGGTGGCTTAAGAGTGTTTAGTAGCTTCTGATGGTATGTGGAGTGAGTTTTCCTCACTCCAGGACCTGAAAAAGACTTCTTTGTGGTCTTCCTGGACCAAGAGGTAGCATGCTGTACCGTAATTCTGGGAACCAGGAATCCCATCCAGCCTAGTTGCCCTTTTCAAGATACAGAATATGAGCCTGCAAGAAGTTAACTTTTTCCACTGTGAAAGAAAAATGAACTCTCTTCATGATTGTCACTGTGTAATCATGTTTGTACCTCATGAATAATTATGTATAACATAGAGCAGTGCAGCGTAGTTTTCCCCACAGGAAACAAAGCTCAGGACAAGAATATTAGCTTTACTAAAACACAATTCATAGAAAAATGTGCTCCTTCATTATTAAGCAAACTAAAAATAGACCATGTAAACTTGTTCTCCAGATAACCAGAAATTTTTTTTCTAATAGTGTACATCAGCAACTAATTATATGTAAGTTTTTAAAATACAGCAGCTGAAAAAGTTGCCAGTAAAAATGTAAAAGACTGGAATGCAATAACCAGCCATTTCTCATTTACAGAAGAGTAACACAACTGAAGTCAGTAGTACTGTGGTTCTTAAGAAAATACAACCTTTTTTTCTAGGGCAAAAATTATTTTTTTCTCAATTTGAGCTTTAAGCAGCTTTCCTCTATTTATTCAGCAAATGTAACGCTGAATTTCAGTTTAGTATGTTGTTTTTTTTTATAGACACATATATTTATGAAAACATTCTTGCACATATAATGTAAGTAGGAAAAAAAAAATCTTACCTAAAAACTTTTTTTTTGAGATTTTTTTGATGCTGGAAAGGCATCACCCAATTGTAATTACAAAATCATTCCATAGGCATCTATTATGTTCCATCATTTCCTCTCTCCATCCATGCTTCTGAGGTGTTTAATATCAGGGAATAATTCCATTAACCTGATTAGCTTTCTATGCTCTGTTTATTTTTATAGAGTAGTAGTTACATAAACGTAAAAACAAAAATTTGCATTATACTTTCCATTCTGCTTTTAAAAATGAAATAGTCTCTGTGAATGCATTATATTAGACGCTTTTGGTAATCACAGTTTTTGTTTTATGATTACTTTTTTTTTTTTAAAATACCATGCTATCTTCATCAGGATGCATTTTAAGATAACTAAATATCTTCTTTTTATGAACACTCAGGAATCTGAAATTAATTATTTTAAAAATTTAGGCAGCTAAGCCCCAAATTTCAAATCTCATAAGCTCTTGGTGATCAGAAACTAAACCCAACTTATTTAATGTCTTGACGGCACTGAGATTCACAGAGCCTGCTCAGAGCTTGCCTCGCACACAAATGCACACTCACAGTCTTCACAAAACACAGAGCAGACAAAAGCAGTTTGCCTTCCTTCTGTGACTCTTTATTTTATATGTTTTTTCCTTTTTGTTCTTTAACATTATTTGCTAATTAGAGTACTTAGCCAGGCTACTGGAAAAATAGTATCAAATTGCTTTTCTGGTCAAGGAGATTCAGGTCTTTACCTACTCTTTCTGTGGAAGCTGCCCAAGGTATGGAATAGTGAAAGCATCAGTCATTTTTGTGTAATTAGTGGCTAGTTAGAACACTGCATTTTTATTATTTTTTAGTATAAACAGTGTTATGGGCTCCTTTCTCAGAGTACCATCCCAACTACACTGACAATTCTACTTTGTATTTCCAGATGTCTTCAACAGAAAACTGCTGCCTCAAAAAACATCATATTGTTGTTCTTGTCCCAGAGTACCTCATCTATTCCAGGTTATTCAATAACTTTTAGTTTAGCCTGATAAGTAGAAGCAGGTCACTGATTGAGCTCTCTATTACTGGAAAGATGTTCCTTGTCACCTTATCTGGGAATTGCAGTGCTATTAGCCAGGAGACTGGAATCATGATGAGAAACATGGATTCCTACACTTAACAGCATCTGGGACAATGACAAAGTTTAATCACAGCCTTGATCCAGACTTTCACTTGAATATCACAAATCAATATCTTCAAGGCACTCCTCTAGGAAATAAGTATTTTAATCTGGTCTCTGACCATTAAACTCACATAAAGGACTAGTGGCAGCTCTACAAGCACCAGCTGTATTAGTATGGCTCTAATTCATTTGACATTACTGACCTGGGAGAGTAGACCATGCGCATGGCACAGTTTCATATCAGGCCTGCTTTGAAGATGCAGGCAGAGGATTTTCTAGTTGTTCCCATTCCAATCAGGCTTAAACAAGACATAGGCTGAGATAAGTCAGCTGGTGCAACTGAAGGTATATGAAAAAGCAGAACTTTTCGGAATGAAAGAGTAAGAGGTCCAGAGAATTTACACACCTAATGGGATTCTGCAGCATCTAAGCAAGAAATTTCTGCATCAGATTATGAAATTAGGTCAAATGCAGGCACCAACTTCCTCCTTGAGACATTTTGGTCTTTAACACTCAAGCCTTTCTGGAGGCGATGTAAGAGATTGCCAGGCTGTGAGCACAGCACTCCCATGTGAAGAGCTCTGTGTATGCTCAGAAGACTCTCCTGTTATAAGTGCCCTGCACACAATGCAGTGTCATGTTGCACATGAGGGTGCAGTGGGACAACTCACGCAGCAGCCAGGCACAATCAGCATCAGCTCTACTCTGTATGTTCATAGAGTTTCCCTCGTGCTGCTACCCCAAGTCATAATTCTGTAACCAATAGAAGAATGAATAAAATGAAACAGAAATTACTATGCTTCTTAATATATCCTACTGACTAACATAAGCATATGCCCCAGTTCCTGCCAAGCCTGCAGGGCATTGGAGATCCTGTTCTGGGCTCCTTAGCTCATCCTTGGAATGGTAGAGGATCCAAAGCATCAAGTGCAGGGGTCCAAGATTCTTTCAGGTGGCCAGGTACCCAGGAGGTGTTGCAAAGTCAAGTGTTGGAACATTTCTTCCATTTTAATATTTACAAGGAAAGAGGGAAGGCTTCTTTGAAGACCTAAGCAACTGGCAATAGATAAAGGAACTCAGTGCTTGTTCTCAGAATAGGAAAAGAGAAAAAATTAAAAGACATTAAAAGGTCATTTGAATAAGATTTAGAGGACCATTTGAAGACATCTGTTTTATTAACTTGTCTTGCTTTAATGATAGGTATGTGAAATCTATAGAGAATTTAAAGATGTTTTCCCTGCTGTTTCTCATTATTGAATATTGTATAATATTTCTCTTCAAGCCAAGAGCAATAGAAAACCTCAGGAATGTATCAGTGTTTACCAGGAGCTGATTCATGTTTTGTTTCTGAAGGAGAAGGAAAGGGAGCACCAGCAGCAACTGAATATTATATTAAAGATGACTGAATGTGGCTTTACTTCATATTGCAACACCCTAGGAGCATGTATACAGACAAATACTACATCTCAACAAAGGAGAAATAAATTCTTAAAACACATTAATTCATGAACATCGGACCAGGGCCCATTGTCAGTTTTTCTCAGAGAAGTCAAAAAAAACTATTACAAGAGTCATAGCTGTTACAAATGCAATGCATTAGTAACATACAGAATATGTATTTGCCACTGACCTGAATGATTCCTCCTAGAAATGAAACAGCTGCTGCAACTCCAATCCTTTGCATTTCAAACTCTGATAGGCCCAAAATTCCTGAATTATTGTTTGTAGTGAAATTAGTGCTGACTGAAGGAACAAGACGCTCAACTGCATTGGCAGATATTAAAGAAGTTAAAGCAAAAGTTCCTATAAAAAAAGCCAGACATTAGTCACTAATAATTCAATATCTGTCTGTACTCATGGTCTCTTTTTCAAAACTTGGCCATTATGAATGAAAGCACCATCTTGTGCATTCCTGTCATGCTAAGAACACCTTTTAAGGTAATCCTTTTATGTAACACGCCTTTCTTCATGTAAAATACAATTTGCATATATGCATTAAATATCTTTTTTTTTTGTGAGCACATTCATTTAGACACATTAACAAAAGAGGTTTAAACATAACAATTCACAGTGATTTCAAGTTATCAGAAATTATTTAACTCACCCTGGGTGTGATGAAACAGCTTTTTGTCTGAGGATCCCAAATGCTTACCATTCAATTTCTAGGACAATTAATTCATGCTGTACACATAGTACCTAGTCCGTTATAGTTAGCAGATATATACATTTGAAAACAGTCTGCATGCTAATAAATGGAGGTAGATTATGAGGGAAACATTTATTTGCTGAGAGAGGCAAAGCAAGTTTAATTACACACGGATAAATAAGGATAATGATTTAATATTAAAAAGCACGAACAAGACATACAGAGCTCTAAGAGCATAAGAAATGCCCTACTGTATCAGACCAATAGTCCATCATGCCCCGTACTCTGCCTCCAGCTGTGGCAATCGGAGGTGTTACCCAGGAAAAGCATACAAACCTGGCCACTTTCTGCTGGCCATTTCCCTCATAATCCCCGAACATCCATAACTGTTGTTTTAGGGAAGTACATCCTTATCTATCCCTTTTAAATTTTGTTTATAGACTAGCATTCATGAATTTGTCAAATCTCTGTTTGAACCTGTTCATACTTTCTGCCTCCACAATGTCTTCTGGGAACAGGTTCCAGAAGTTTACCATCCGCTGTAGTATTTTCTTTAATCTGTACTTTAGGAGTCTTTTAAAGTGATCTCTCATCAGTTTCCTTGAGCTCTTCTTATTTTCTACTGTTGCAGAACCTGGTAAATTCAGTTTTACTTTCCCCTTGGCCTTCATAGAGTAAACCTCCCAGCATGAATTCCTTGGGAACCTACCAGGGACACCTCCACCCTGAAAAATTATCAATAAGCCCTATCTTTTGTTTCTTATCCATTAACCTGCTAATAATTAATAAAAGAACTTTTCTTCTATCACAAGGGCAACTTAGGTTTTTTAGTAACCATTGGTGCGGAACGTTATCAGTAGCTGTTTGACCACTCTGATATCTTATATTCAAAGTATTTCCTTTTTCCATGTGCTTACTGACACTCATACAGTATTCTAGGATGTTACTGAGGTAGGATTTTCCTTTACAGTAATCACATTAACTCCTATCCAACAGACTCTTATTATATATATCTTTTAGTGATATTCTTTTTTACTATAGTCTACAATAATAGAGGTGCAAGAAGGTCTGTAGTTCCCAGGATTCCCTGCACAGCCCTACTTACAGATGAAATTACTCTGGTAACTTGACAGTCCTGTGGCCTTGTCACAGAATATCCCTGTTACACCTTTGTCAGAAAGGTGTCCCACCAGTTTCTTTCCCAGCTTCCAGATTTTAATGTATTTAAAAAACTTTAACTATCAGTTTTGTCATCCTCTCCATGGCACTCTTCAAATTCCTTTTTTTAGCCTTCTAAACTTCCTGCATATGTTTAACCTACCACATTCCATGGCTTTCCTGCTCACCTTATTTAATCAAGATTTACATTTTTCAGGTGTCAAACTCTTCCCTATGACAGTCCCCTTAGTTTTCCCACTGAGCCAGGAAGGGTTTTCTTGGATTACATTTTCTTATTTGAATCGTGATACACATTTTACATGGCCATATAACACATTTTTTTCAAGCAACACTCAGGAGAGTTGTACTTATTTTGCTTTTCAGATTGCTCATTTTTGCTTTTAAACTTGTTTTTAAAATTTTTACTTATTTATTTATTTAAACAGCTTACATAAAATTGAATTTGAAAACAGTTTACATAAAATTCTATCTGAAATCAAAGATCTATATGTGGTATAATGACAGATAAGGCTGTCTCAGAGGATGCTTCAATATCAATTATACTAAAAACAGACAAGTAAAAGGTGTAGAGGTTAATTGCTCAGATGAGTAATCTTTTAAAAGTAGATCAGCTGTGTCACCGAAGAGACATTTCAAATGAGTAAAAGTTGACAGAACTGGGCCATTGATTAATTTTCCATTTCATATTAAACATAACTGACTTCACTAACAAAGGGCAATTCTATAGCCTGTGTATATATGGAGAGCCCTGCTGATCTTACAGAAAATGTTGGTAGGAGAAGAGATTGTCACCAACGTATGCGTGGAATTACAGAGCATTTGGGAACCTGAGGCAGGCAGTATAGCTCCAGTTCAGCCTGCACACCATAATGCCTTAACCGAGGCTGGTGGGATGGGTACATGAGACATTTCTCCTGAAAGGATCAACAGCATATGCCAAACACATTTATTTAAAAACTTTTCATGACTGCAAAAGAACTGCTTTATTTCCTTCTTTTTCTTAAGATTGAATTCTGGAATAGACACCTGTGAAAGGAACAAGTTTCCACACCAGGGACTGTGCAGGAATCTGCAGCCATGGAGCAGTGCAACTCTCAGCAAATTGTTCTCTGAACAGTGTTCCCTACCAAGGATAAAACATCAGACTAGTTTCTCATACTTACCCATTTTATGATCTGTTTTCATTACTAGAATTTATGTCAGACAGAGACTTGTTGATTCACTTTCCTACATATGATCATATGATGGGTTCTTGTCTTCTTAATACACCAACAAGCTGCTGACAATATACTGCTAAATCATTAATATTCAACATAGGTTCATGTTTTAATATATTTAATTTTTAAAAGTTTAAAACGGTATACTTATCTATCTCTACTTAAGTGTCAAAATTATTTTCCAAATTTAAAATTTTCACTTTTTTTTTTTTATGCTTCTCTTTCTTACATGAGCTGAGTACATGCCATCATTCATTACAGCATCAAGCCACTAACAGCAACAGCATCCACAGATCCTTCTCAGGCATCAAAAGGCTCAAATAATTTTTCTGCCTTCAGGGAAAACTAACCTTCAGTTTTCCTTGTGATGTAAGACAAGTTATAGCTGTTCAGCAATTTTTAATAATTTAACAGAATATTTATAAGCAAAAAAGGTGCTCAAAATATGTGGTTAATTTTGCTAACTTCGTACTAAAACATTTGTCAGTGCATACACTCGAGCAATCAGATTCTGCAGAGATCATTTTGTGTGTGATTATCCAAAGCCATCTTTCCTCCTTTCAGGAGTTTTTATTCTCCACGAGGAAAATATACCTCCCCCTGGCTGAAATCTTCTGATGACCACAGATGCTGCTTCCCTTTATCCAGTCCTACTGTGCTTTACTGCTGGGCCTTTCTCATCATTCCTGCAAACTTCAGAGGTCACCAAGTGCCCACTTCTACACACCAAATAATTTGTGGTTCAATCTCATTATTATTTTCAACTCCCATCATAAAATCATAGAAACATAGAATGATTAGGGTTGGAAGGGATCTTACAGATCATCTAGCTCCAAACCACCTGCCATGGGCAGTGACATCTTCTACTTAACCAGGTTGCTCAGAAGTCCCATCCAACCTGGCCTTGAACCCTCCCGGGGGAAGTGGGGAGCCACAACTTCTCTGGGAAAACTGTTTCAGTGTCTCACCACCTCACAGGAAGAAATTTCTTCCTGATATCTAATCTAGATCTGCCATCTTTCAGTTTAAAAACACTACCCCTCATCCTATCACTACACTCCCTGATAGAGTCCCTCCCCATCTTTCCTGTAGCCCCCTTTAGGCACTGGGAGGCTGCTCTAAGGTCTTCCTGGAGCCTTCTCTTCTCCAGGCTGAACAATCTCAACTCTCAGCCTGTCCTCATAGGGGAGGTGCTCCAGCCCCCTGAGCATCTTCATGGCCTCCTCTGGACCCACCCGAGCAGGTCCATGTCCTTCTTATGTTGGGGGTCCCAGAGCTGAATGCAGCACTCCAGATGGGGTCTCATGAGAGCAGAGTAGAGGGAGAGCATGACCTCACTCGGCCTGCCGGCCACACTTCTCTTGATGCAGCCCAGGATACAGTTGGCAACCATCTATAACTTGTGTTATTTGGAGTCAGAAAGAGAGCATTCACCAACCTATGAGGAGATCAAAGTCATTCAACTCTTGCAGCTGCTGTTGGGCCTGCTGAGAGTAATCAAGTAACTCATAACTACAAGCACAGTAGCCAGGGAGCACTTTTGCTGCCTACCTAATTACTCTGAAAGTGGACAGAAGTTGTATTGAACTCATTGGGAAAATCTCTAGCTTTAATACAATAGCAGGTAAAAGGTGCAGACAGCTTCTTCTCTGAGAAATACGCGGTTTGTGTTTTAGACAGGTGAGAAGCAATGTGTGTTTTCTACAGTTTAAGAAGCAGCCAAGCCTTTTTCGTTCCTGTTTGCATATATCTTGTTGGCTGAGTCCTTTGTTAAAATCTTAGCCTGAAGCAGATTTCTAAAGTAGAGTTAAAATACAAAAGCCCTTAATAAACTACATTTACAAAGGAAGTGTCAATGCAATATTAAATTATAATAGCAGCGGTAACTCCAATATATTCTTAATGAGGCTCTTTAAAGTACTTAAACTGGCAAAAAATATTTGTAAAAAGCAGCACAAAAACATCTTATTTCTGTTCAGTCTTAAATAATTTTCCTTCCATTCATCTTATATCAGCAATAAAAACAAAATTTCAGTTTCCAATCCCTTGTTTCTGAAAAATTTTAGCAAATAGACACCTACCTGTTGCAACATGACGTCCCATTCCAAATATGGCATATATAATGACAGGGAAGAAAGAGCCATATAAACCAAAAACTGGATGGACTGAAGACAGAACCGCAAAGGCCAACCCTATAGAAAGTTAAATGGAATTAATTAACTATATGAAGATAAAACTGTTCTGCACTCAGCTTTGGGTTGGTTTTTTTGGTTTGTTTGTTTTGTTTTGTTTTGTGGGGTTTTTTGTGTTTTTGTTTTGTTTTGTTTTGTTTTGTTTTTAATGAGGAAATGTGTACAACTTTATTAAGAACAGGAAAAAACCCACCTTCGTTTACAAAAAGCTAGAGCATAAGCCAACTGTACCATAAGGATCAGGAAGAACTGGAAGATTTTTCACCTATTGTATCTCATCAAAGTTCTCACACTTTCTTCTGAGTCTCGGTCACCAGCAGAAACATACGGGCCACAGATACAATCTATGTCACCAGCTACAACATTTCCAGGTTCCATCTACATCAGTGGCTCCAAACTTTTTTTTAATAGACCTTCCTCACAGGGGGAGGCATCACTATTTCACCCCCAGCCTCGCAAACATGGGTTTAAGATTGCCAGGGCTCCAGGCGGTCAGATGGTTATTTCTTACACAGTTCAAAACCTATAATTTTGGTTTGGATGGAGCCCCTTCAGTCTGCTTTCTTCTAATTTGTTGAACAAAAAAGTATTCCAGAGTTCATTGTCTTTAGCTGCCTGGGGTTTTTAATCCTTCAGATATTAACATTTTTTTCATTATTTAAAGCTGTCAGTCCAGAAATGGAAAATATTTGACTTGTGTTTTGGGATGGACAATGAGCTGAATTGGTCAGTATTTAACTTTACAGACTTACTAGTTACCTTCATTGCTTAGCTATAAAGGACAGCATCCATATTTTTCTTAGAAAGTCTCAGAATATGCCAAGAAATCATCTTTTAACAGAGACATTCCTGCAAACCAGCAGCTTTGGTTGCTCTTCAACTTTAGATACCTGGGATGGCAAGCAAGTCTGCATTGATTCTTTCAAGTCAGCAGAGAGACTCACCAGACTGTGCTTCAGACCAGCAGCCTCTACTGCCATTTCACAGTTTTTACTCCTAGAGACTAAGAGAATGAGAAATTGTCTGGCAGAGTTGTGCCATAAATCTTGGTGAATAACTTGTGCAGTAGGGAAGACAGGATTGGCTTGTGTAACACACAAGGTGCCTTTCTGAAGTCCACCTTCAATCTGAGTGACCAGTCTAAGCTACTGTATATGTATATGTGTGTGAACTCTAAAGTTTTCCTTATAAAATCTACACATTTCACTTTTTAATAGGTTTTCACCCTAAGTAACTTTATCACTCAGTTCAAGAGGAGGTTAGCTTAGAAGACGTACAAAACAAAACTAAAGGGTAAAATAATACATCGCAGGCTAAGCTAAAATATTTCCAGAAGTGGGACTACCAGTTCTTTTACTATCCAATATTTCCAATTAATCCAGGATTAAGAACAGTATACATTGTTCTTTCCTCTCAACAGTTACAAGGAAAACAAGGGTTCAGCTACAACAAAATATTCTGTCACCATCTGGCTGTAAAAGCCAATTCTCTCTTCCCTACGTATGTTTACTTTGTTTTTATGTTTCCTAAAACCTTCTGAATCTGAAACATTTGACAATTATGGTCAGACTGTGTTTGATCCAGCATAAGATGTACATTTTGTAGATAAAGCACAAGAAGCTCAATCCAGCCCTAGCTCATGCACACAGAAACTGTGTCAACATCTCAGTTCAGCAATTTGAGCAGGGCTGAGAGACACAACCTGAATGAACCCTCACAGTCAGAAGAACCGGCCAGCAGACATCTGGCACAGGTCCTGTAAAACCTTGGAAAAGAGGTTACCCTGACCAGCAAACCCCCAGCATCTAACAGGAATTTTGCTTTACTCACAGACTTGCTGCTGAGAAATATCTCTTGTTTACAGGCAGATAATCTAAACAAATCCTGCCCTTGCTTTTAACCTTTTACACATAGACCTTTCACAGTCTTTTTGTATTAAATTTCTAGAAGTTTTGTCTCGTTTTTTTCATAGTGAGGTCATGGCAGACAGGACAAAGCTAAAATTACCGGCCTTTGACTTTAGTCCTGGCTCTGTTAGCTTTTTGCTCCAAATACCGAAGCATGTCAACAGTGTGCAAGAGCAGAGAGGCATTGTAAAACACAATTAGTAAAGACTTCAGGTTTTCTGATTAGGCATATAATGTTCTAAAGGTTTAAATACTTTTAAAGTTATAATCAGTTGTATATTTCAGCATATGTCATTAATTTTTGTATTAAACTTCACTACAATGCATTCCATATGCTTAAGAACCAGTCAAAAGACATGAAACATTTTATTTTTTTAATTCCAAACAGTAATAATACTCAAAAGAAATAGATCATAAAATAAGGATCCCACATAATCTTCACTGGTAATATGGAGAAGCCTCCATGGCAGTGACATTAAGGTTTTCACATAAGAATATAAATGCCATGGAAAGAAATGCAAACAAAGAATGAACAGCAAGTTCAGATACAGTACGTTAATATTGTGGTTCTTTGCTTTAACTACCTCCTTATCATAAGAAAACATTAAAACCCATGGTCTCTGACTAGCACCTCCACAACCCTCCACACATAAGTGTATGCCACACAGAAAAGCAAGAGTTGCACTAATGTTGGTAAACTACAAAATAACAAGCCTGATACAAATAGAGACAAGGCCATGTCTTACCATAGGAGAAAGTTCTCAGTTTAAATTGATAGTTTATGCTAATTAACAAGACATTAGCATGTCTTGTCCCACTCAAAAGGCTATCTGAAGTTGTGGTCACTCTTGGATGTTTCAGAAAAAACCAATTTCCTCCTTTGTTCACAAAGCTGAATTATGTAATAAGAAAGGTATTTCCTGTAGATGCTCTAAAATGTAGAATTAACACATATTTAATGAGTCTCCTATCAGTCCTTCTTGGAGAACCAACAAACCAGACACCCAATGATTCATATTGCAGGCTTTAATCTGTAACTCCAGGATAGCTAACTTTTACTGAAGAAAAAAAAAAAAAAACAACACAGAAAACATTTTTAATATTTTATTTCCTAATAATTTTCCTATACAAACCTACAATTCTGGAAGATTCTTTGACACTGGCTTGTTAAAAACTATTAACATAAAATCCTTCTGAAATAATGTCATTTACCTCCAAAAACTGGAAATCTCAGTGTCAGTTGTCTCAGTGGAGCACACATACACCTCATGCTTGCAAGATCTCTGTTTCCTAATGGCACCATTTGCTGGGGCTACACATTTGCATTGTACCTTCTCTCTGATTTATTCAAAAACAAAGTACCAAGAGCTTAAAATCATTCCTTAGTTCTGTCATTCAAAGCCTGAGGAAAATGAAGAATGTAAAAACAAGATGAGAGGACAGATCTGCAAAAATGTACCATAAATCTTTCAGAGACCACACAATGTTGAGTTAGCAACCATTCTCTCTTTTTTGAAGGATACTTCAGTGTAGTTAATTCCCATGCATCTGCCTCCTTCAGTCCAGTGAGAATTAAGCATCTCAGCTGTATTAGTCATAGTACCTGAATTCACAGTATTTCACAGTATCTGAAGTGCAGGTCTCCCAGCGTACCATCTGACAACTACATCAAAGGTGTATTTGAGAATGCACTTTTCTATTCTGCCACTTTGCAGATCTCCAGATACTGACACTTGTATCTTGATGTTCAAGAGAAAGGATATGCAAGTATTACAGTAGAAGAAACAAATGGACTCTGTGACCCATTTATGAATTCTCTATTTGAGGTACCTTGATCTCCTGTATGTAAAAAAGCTTAAACACACCCAAAACCAGGGAAAAATATCTATTATTTTATTGTCTTTTAATGGAGATCCCAGGAAAAAGCTATGACTCTTGACAAACAACCAGAGATTAAATATTTAGACCCCTTTAGAATTAATTTTACACTATATCTGAATATCACAGAGATTTCATAAACTATCATACAGAAAATTCTATAAACTATTCTATATTCTATAAACAGAAAATTCTATAAACTACTGGTCAGCTGTAATATCTAAAGAATCTGACCATCTCCAAAATAAAATTAAAGAGGCATTTTGAAAGTAGATTATATGTAAATTCCACTGCATCTCAGCAAGAATAAACAGAAAAAGAAATCCCTAAGAAGCTTCTGGCAAGCAGGTAACTATGAGGTAGCCTTTTGAGAAGCACCAACACTGTGAAGAAACAAAGACCAACCATGACTGATGACAGGTCTTAATCAAGATGAACTGGACTTTGAAATCTATGAAAAGGGCATCCACTTTGACAAATTGGTGACCAAAGATCTCAGCAATAGGAGTTTTCCTGATCTTTCCAACCTGGAATATTCTAGGTGAAGTAATTTCTTCTTCTTCCTTCAGGGAATCAGTTTCCGGGGTTTGTCAGTCTCTGTCCATGGTGCTCAGCCCCACCCAGGCACAGGCATCAGACATCTGTGCAGTTTATCTGGTCAAACTAAGACAAGTGTACCTGGATATTAGGCTCCAAAGGATTCAGGGGTCATTCAGAAGCTAAATTCACATTTCTGTAGTCTGTCAGACAGGTCTGTATTAGTACATGTGTAACTTGGAAGAATTTTAATAGACATTAGAAATTAAATATTGCATGCACAGCATCAGTGCCTTTCTCTTCTGCTGTAAAGTTGTATCAATATGAAAGATATCCCTAAATTTACTTACTAACATGTCACATTTCATGATCAGCTTACATCATTATTCTTTGCATGGGAGAACTATAACAGAGTTCATCTGGACACTCTTCCACAAATCATTTATGAACTACATGGATTCTCCAATGAAGTTTCTAGGAGATTTTTCTGGCCCTGTTTCTAAATATGCTTATTCAATTTCATCTATACATGCTATTTGTATGCCAAATGTATATTTACAAGACAGCTCTACCCCTTAATAAAATTATTAGCTCCAGTTAGTCTGCACAGAGTATATTTATGTCTACATTTATGGTCAGAGCCTGAAAAAAAAAACCCAGCAACCATGACCCTTGAGA